ATATATATATATGGCCGGATAAGCAACACTAATAACCGAACTCCGTTCAGAATCGTTTTTCGTTATCAATGGTTAATCGTTTCGTACAGATATACATTAAATTTCTGCTCTGCATTCCCAAATTCTCACACACAACAGTGGCCGACCCACGAGCGAAGTATGTCCGTCATTTTTGTATTGTGCGCTATACAAAGGTTGTTCGCAATTATAAATTTTTTTTCAAATTAGTTATATTCGTCTTCTATTACCAGACGCCTTCGTGTATCGAATATATTCCCCACTATTCGATGCCAGAGTGTGTGCATAATATGCGAATTAGTGTTGCTACGCGAATATGCGGATAATCCGTAAAATCCGGATTTCGGACTTAAAAACAAGTGAATTCCATTTTCGGAAGATGTAATGGTTAGTTTTTGAGTCGGATGAAATATGCCTAAACGAATCCAAAATCCAAAATAACGATTTCAAATACATTTTCCGATTTTGGATTCCTAGATCCTGGTTATCGAACTTCGACAAATCCGGATGTTTCCCATCGGTAATGTGAACATGGGCGTACGCACGGTGACGCTGATAATGGTACTTTCGGTGTGCCTAAAGATAAGGTCGGATGACTCATCCTTATCCGTGTCCCACTTAATTAGCAAAATCTGTTTAAAATACCGCCATTTTAAATTGAGAGCTGCTATTGTTGTACGTTTTTAATGTTATGTTTAAATAGTATTAAATAACGATGATCCGTGGGTCGCGAGAACAGTGGTGGCAGTGGCGCACGAATATGAGCGTGGGCGCTTGAAATTATTATACTACGAATTCCTAACGTCTGGCCAGCAGCGCTCTTTATAAATGCAGTGGAAATTTTAAACGTTTTCGCCCAACTATAAGCGGGAAATTACCATTGGGCTGTTGGAGGGGAAGAGGTACGACCTTATCCTCTAAGGCCGTGTACTTTAATATTAAATTCTAAACAAATTAATATTATTTTCGTTCGAAGGCTTAAATTCTTATCGTTATTATATTATTTTTCTCTATTTCACGTTTACCCAGCGTGATATCTAAACGAAAAATGTAATCTAAATCTAAGTTTGGTTCAATAATTTCAAGGGAGAATATTTTTAGTTTTAGAGGTCTCATATACGTTTTCTCCAATTCGAGCACTGAAAATACCTACCGAACAGCTCATACTCACAATAATATAAATTATGCATCCGTTGTTGCAGGTTAACACTTCGGGAACATATTTTTTTTATTATTATTATTGTAATACGTTGTTACGTTAGACCTACATGGTTTTTTTTTTAAATATATATAGACGACAGACAACAATAATAACGTTTTCGCCAGCAGCTTATTATAATATTATATACAGTGCACGTGGCCTCCGAGCAACAATATATAAATACTCAAATATACGCTTTCTGGTTTTCATACATATATACATAATATTAAAAATTGGTACCTACCGAATTAATTGTTTTCGTGCGTCGTGTCGGTAAACCGTCGCAGAAACGGCCTACGCTCGGTTTTTTAATACCGATTTTACGAGCTGTAGTAAATCATAACAACATAGACGCCCGATTCGGTTGATTTTTATCGATTTGTCGCGGCGGTTGAGGTAAAATAATTCGTACATTATTGTTAACGCATTGGCCAGAGGCGGGATCCTCCAGGAGTTATTCAAATGAGTCTGGGGGGGGGTAAATGCAATTTATCCAACGCCATTGTATTTCGTCTTATCCCATAGCAGGACAGTGTCTACTAATATTTTTTATGTTTTTTGTAATCATTGTTATTATAATCAGTTATATAATATAATGAGTTGTAACATCGAAGCTTATTTTTATAAAGATAGTATGGCTGATACTTTACACTTAAATATTTAACTTGCATTTACGCGATTAACTATGCAAACGTCCAAAATAATAACGATATATAATAATACAGGTAAAACAAACAGTTTTTGACAAAGAGTTGTTTTAAAACTATATAAAAAAAAAAAACATGAAAAAACACAAAACGGACTGTGGACTCACGGTCAAGTCGCAATCAGTCATTTAACCTACACGTTTTAATCATTGTCATTGTCATAATGATTGTAACAGTTTAGTTTTGTATTCTGCATTGGAAATCAATATGATTCCCTCAGTTAAAGATCGCTTTATTTATATTTGTGAAATTCCATGCGATGATTTTTAATTTTATTTTTAATTAGTAATAACCCTATTGCCTTCCGCACACAATTGAATCCGCTGATGAACTCGGAATAAATATAAAATACATAAATTCGTCCACGATTTAATTCATAGGCATAAAATCGAACAAGTTCACAAACTATAGTCCATTTTTTTTTCTCAACTCAACTAAAATCCATTATTAAAAGTTAATTTTACTACTGATTTTTTTCTAATATTCTAAGTGTAGGTTAAAAAATTTTATTAAAAAATATAAAATACATTATAAAGTATAAATTATGTACTATTTATTTATAATATCTCTATTAAAATAGTAAAATTTGTTATGTCTCTGTATATGTCTAATAAATTTGCTTAAATCATTTTCCTGAATTTTCAATATAAAACCTGAAATGGTCGATGAAAAGGAAAATTTCGAGTTAATTGTGTAATAGTATGAGCTTGCTTCAATAATCAAAATACATGAACTCAATTAACTTAGTTCGGTCATATATTTTAAACTCGGAGCAGACGAGCAAGTAAATGTTGAACTCGCTCATTCAGGTTTGAATTTAGTATTGCGCTACAGGGCTCGCGTGCGTTCTAAAATACTTATTCAAAACCCCGAGAAAAAAAAATACTTAGTTTTTTTTATTAAATCTTAATATTTATTATAACGTTGTCGTCGGGGATTGGTTTTCGTAAACACAATACCTATGCAGATTCTACCCGCGCCGCCACCGCCGCCGTCGGCTACGCACGCCGGTTTATACAAAGCTCTCGGCGATCGTCCGATAAAAATATATTTCAAAATTCAATTCCGTCGAGGGCAGGCTTTTTAAGGACAATTTTTGGCGGCCGTCGAGTCCCATAGTATTAAACCCAAGACTAAGCTTACCCCCCGCGGGTAAAAAAAAAAAATGAAAATCTATTCACCCGCGCTATAATCGCAAAACGCTATTTTATATTTTAAACTACTGCGTCGCGGAAGAGCGCACAAATTGGACGCATCTACTTGTATAGGTATATTGAATTTGGTTAAGGATAAGGGTGCGGTCGCACAAACATATTATTATTATAATCGAACGGACGTTTGGCGAAGCGAAAACGTTTTTGACAAAAATATATAAACAGGCAGCACGAGTATAGGTAACCAAAAAAAAAAAAAAAAAAATCAGAAATATATATAATACTCAATAATACTCGTTTACAACCTATAAAATACAATTTATTTATGTATAAGCATATATTCGAGATGCTTAAATTTGAAGAGAGGCTAGAGTCACTCTTACTAAAATTTTCCAGTATCATACTGCAAGTTTGAAGACCTAAAAGATAATAATATGACATTATCGTTTATTGGTGAATACCATAAATATGCCTGATATTACACATACAATATACTCGTATTATAAATAGTACAACTGGTTAGTTATGTTAAAGAAAGACTTGGGTAAATTACTTTTAGATTCTAAACGGAGCGATAAATGTATCGGTTTTACAATGATGTTTATTTTTTTATTTGAAAGAAAAAGTTCTCTGGGTGGTATTTAGAAATGTCATTTTTTGAAATTTTCATCAGTATTTGAGATAATGAAGAAAATCTAGTTCTTTAGGATAAAAAATAATGAAAGGCTAAAAATAAGGTTGCCACTGACAACAATTTTAATTTAATTTTTATTATTGAGTTTTTACTATTTTAATATGTTTTTAAATAATTATCGTTGTCATAGAAACGCACATTGTTGCATATCATTTTACCGTAATATGGCATATATATTGTTGACAAATACTTCATATTCATCAAATGAATTCCGCTCAGAATCATTTTTTTTTCGTTAGCAATGGATTATCGTTACTTACAGGTATAGATTAAATTCCCGTCTCTTTTCTACTTTCCCAACTTACCACCCACAACTGTGGCTGAACCCACGTGCGAAGTATGTCCGGTTTTTAATGGTAATCGGATTAAATATTATAATAATAATAATATGTATTTATTTAACTTAAATACTTTGCGGAAAGTATACAGAATATTTTAGAAACAAATGTTTAAAAAACATGTATGGTTAAGTTTTGATGACTTAAGGGAACTGCAGGTATTACAGGGCATTATAAGTATTAGATACCCAACATGGTTAAATATATTATAATATTTATTAACCGTTGGGAATTACTTTCAAGCTTCAAGATTCAATGGCCAATCTTCACCCTGCATATTCAAAATATCTCTAAGCGACGAGGCGTTCTGAACAGTTTCAAAAGAAACCGACCAGTAAAATCTGCAAACAACTCACTCACCCCGTAGTTCAACTTTCAGCCACTATATTCACCTAAACATTTTTGCCTCTGAAAGAATCGCGAGCTTGGTACAAAAATGGTTTACGCAAGACAATGCAGCTTTTTAACGTCCGATACCCACCATCGCGTCTGCAACACACAAACTTATCCGCCACGGTAATCCGGATCACGCATTATATTATTATTATTATTATTATTATATAATAGCATAGCGAACCGACCGTGCTGAGTATTATTTTTATCCGAGTTTCTTCCGGATTCCACGTACCTATCTATGCCTATAATAATATTTTTACACGTAAATGCTTTTAAAGTGGACAAATTTGTCGGCACACTCGCGAGATCGCTGCCGCCATAATATGTGTAGGTATATCTATTTATCTACAACTCCGCAGCGCGTTAAAACTTGTTATAAAACTCGATTTTCCAGACATAATATAAATACCTACAACAACTAGGTATACTTTTAACCGCGGAGTTTTCGAGTTTTCGTGGACGAGATAAGATAATAATACATATTATGTTATAATCGCGTCGCAAAGTCGCGAGGTGGAACAAAATCGTTGTTGATATTTCGCTGCAGATAACCGCACTACGACGGAACGCGCGCGATAAAATATATGACTACACACATCACATATCGTATGTTATTATAAACAATACCGCCCCTGGTCGAAAATTAGTCTCCGGGGTGCGAGATGTGCACGGGAACGGAGTTTCTCATCACATTATAATAATTAGGTTAACTTATAAAGTTGGATATAACGTTATTTTCAAGTTCGTTAAATTACGCACATCGTCCGCCGGGGAGAGAAACGACTGTTTCTGTTCTGTGTATCTAGTAGGATTACATGGTCGGTACGAATAAATATTGTAAAATTACGGTATAGCATTTTATGTTTTAAGAGCTACTTAGCTTCTACATCAAGAGTATTGTTTTTTCTGTTTGTCTCCCGCGTGAGATAATATTGCAGTTTTCCTCCATCGTAAGCGTAGACTTGTACATCTAGACGGAACATTCAGCATGAAAACGCGTTCTGGAGGGTGGAGTTTAATTTCGAGGACAAAAACAAGTGAGATAATAAACGGAATGTTCTAATTGACTATTATCGGAATGCAAATTTGCTCTCTCTCACACATCACGTCTAAATATTATTCGTAATACGAGTATGTCATTCGAAATGGAAACCGCAATAGCATCGTGTCATAAGCATCGTTAGCCTATTAGTATTTATTTTTATATGTATAAAATATGTTTTTAACGGTCGCTAAAAAAAATGTAATATTCATTTGGGAGTCACCGCAGTAAAAAAAAGATTAAGAAACACTGGAATACAGCAACAAAGGCATTGCGAATAATTTTAAAAATATTGCGACTCTGCCGAGTTTACGGCAAGGGACCCATTATACATTTTAACGAATATAATTTTTTTAAATTTTCTTAATAAGTTATTAATGGCAAAAATCGAGGGAAATAAAGAAACGCGCGTAAAAATCATTAAAACATTAAAAAAAAATGATCCGGTTAAGGCGCAGAAAAATACTCTTCTTTATAAAAACGGACAGAGAAAAAAAAAGGCCCCTAGTAGAGTGAACCTTATATTTCAATACAGTGGCGAGATTTTTTTTTTTTTTACACGATGACGGAATTCGTTTAGTAAACATTATTTCGGACGATAGTTTGACTCTTATCACGGACTACAGTGTATAATAATATTATATCAAAACAATAACAAAAAAAAAAAATCTCTCCGAAAACCAAACATAAACTATAGAATAATTAAGTTATTTTATACTTATTTTTTTTACGGTTTTTTTTTCTGTATAGACAATATTGTCGTGTTTGTTTATTTGTTGTCACTGCACAACGCCGTCGTCACATAAATGTTTTTATTGTTGAATATACGCAGCGTCTTTTAAACGAATACACGTCGTATTGTGTAGAATATTTACTGCTGCGCGACCCGACCGAATTTCAATTTTATTCGAACGGTTTACACATGCAGCGGAGTCGCTATCGGCCGGTTAGGAGATTTTAATATTATTATTATTATAATTTTTTGTTTGTCTTGTTTTGTGGGGGTTAACGTGAACGCGGTTTTTATTTATCTCGGACGTAGGTGGCGGAGTGTGATATCGTCGTCGTATAAACAAACAACGTCGCCGAGGTCGAAACGCAATAAAAAAAATATACAAATATTTTAAAATATTTAAATACGTATACGTAAAGAATATACTGTGTAGGGAATCAGGCGAAAAGACGTTACAATGTAAACTATACGAGTATAGGCGTAAGTATCCGTGAAAGTTTATAATATTCGAATAAGATTTTCGCGTTCGGGGTAGACATTTTTTACTTCTAAAATCGGGATGTGCGCGGCGTCACAACGTTTGACTTGCCCCGACTTCGCTATAGCGTAATAATATACGCGTGTATTTTATTATTGTGCGACTGCCGGAATGCGTTTTATATTTGGTTTTTTTTTTTTTTCTTTACAACCAATTTCCCGAAACGCTAGGTGTATACATTTGAATATCGCGGAAAGAAAAACCAATTAACTAAACTGTATTTTTACAATTTCAAAGGACGACAATACGCGGAAAATAGGCTTCGTCTTTGGGAAAATCGGGGCGGGGTCCCGGAAAAGGCGGGAAATTGGTTATGATTAAAAAAAATAACCGTATATATGTACGTATAAAAGATAAGACCGGCTATACTATAAAAATGTAAAACAGTTACTTTACCTACGTAGTTATATACATCTACCTACATATATATATATATATATATATGTATATATTATGTACGTATAATATGAAACGGACGCGTAAGTTGATATTATACACGTACATCCCTTGTACATACAATATACGTATTATTATAAATATATTACACGTAGGTATATATATACGTTTACTATAAGGCAAAGTAGGTTATTAAAGGGGCTCCCGGAATCGCGTTAAGGGATTATTTAATTATATCGGAGACGTTATTATAAATATATACATCGCCCCGTGTATACGTATAGCCCTATCGCGCAAGCGCGCGCCAGTAGATTGGATTTCCAGTATGAAAAAAAAAAAAACCGGGGGGAAAAAAAAAAAAAAAGGAGAAAAATCAAGAGGTATATAGTCGGGAAAAAATTTAATCCCAGAGACAAAGAGCCCTTGGGAACCATAACGCCGCCGTTTCCTCCTCTATAATAATCCCGAGGGTTTTTTTTTTTTTTTTGCGCCCACCGCCGTACACTCGCGGCGGCGGCGACGACGACGACGACGACGAGACGGGGCCGATGTGCGGGAGAGGGTAGGCGCGGGTCGAGGGGACTGCATTATTCATTTAATTTCGCCGTGGCGCGGGAATCGGCGGACCGGGATAGTCGTAAATTAATTTCGATCATATACATTGTACGATATTATTGTATTATAATACTATATAATATATACTCTCGTATAAAAAGGTATTATACAATAATATATTGCAATATCGTAAGTACGATTCTTTATCGTTCGCATCTTTGCCCGTTTTCACCCACCGACCCCGTTCCCACCCACCTCGGGTCCACCGACCGCCGCAGTAATCCTTGACCTTGATCCCCGAGCACATTCGCCCGTTTTTGTTGACACAGATGTTACTCGGGTTGCGCGACACTTGCGCTTGGCGTTCGCCCAGGAGGCGACGGGCTATTTCGCTACTGTGATACACACTATGCACAACTGATATAACTGATATTATTATTATTTTAATGTACCCGGCCGGGTGGTTTTCAGCGACTGTTCCTTCCGACTGTCCCCGCGAAATGATTTAAAGGTTGTCCCACCCTATATATACACATATATAATATTATACGTGTAGCAGTAGCAGAAGCAGAAGCAGCAGCAGCAGCAGTAGCAGCAGAAGTCGTAAACGGAAACGCGATTTTTAAATTGAACTCACCAGAGCTGAATTTGCAATACACGCGAGGGGACGACTTTGCCACGATCACTTGGCGTATTGTCTCTCCGTGTGTTCCAGCAGCCTCTTATTATATGTTTTACTGTTTGCGTATTTATACGCCTAAAACACCGGGGGTCCAGGACATGATCGTGTAGTGTGAAATTGAATTTGTTGGATTATAGCTTTTTACGACGATACAGAATGAATAAATAACGCTGTTAAGATGAATCCATTGGCTGCACTTATCGCACCGGAGGCGTATTTAAGAGATGAGATTATAGGGAGATACGTCTCTGCCTTTAACCTTTTTTGCTAAGAATCTATAGATCTATAGTTCGTGTGACGATTTTTTTTTTTTTTTTGTTTCGAAATTCTAATTGCTTTAATTTTTAAACGAATAAATTAAAAATATATTGGCTAATAAACTCAAAACGTATAAGTTGTCTTGTTTAAAACGAAACCTATATCCGAACAACAATAGTACTAAGGAGATTAGAATAATACTTGAATAGTAAATAATCGAAGAATAATATTTCTGATACTTATAGTTATTTGATCGACAATTTCTATGTTCGATAGCCCCCTACACCTTGAAAAAATTCCAAATATGTGTTACTGATCGCACGATAAACGTTTCGACCGTGTGAACGCGGCCGTAGGCCGAATATTATACTTGTACCAAAATGATTAACTAGTAACGTCTCATCGGTAGACACACGATCAAAATGTACCTACAGTGATAAGGTTAGCCAATCAAAAAAGAGTGTTTTACGACTGAAACCTCATAAACCCATTTCGCGGTTATTTTTTCGTTTGAGTAGGGTTTGAGTAGTGTAACAATAATTTAATAATGATGTCAAGATACTCCGCCAAAATCCGCTGAAATTATATTATTGTTTCCTTAGACGTGAGTTTTAATGTAGACAATATTATTTTATTCCGATGTACCCTTTACAATAACAGTTCCGTAAATTCTCTACGACAGTTTCCGCGAACGGACGGACATTTATATTTCAATACGGAGGTCCTCATACTGAATTCGGCTAATGATTTTCGTTGGTTATTTTTTTCTCCGGCATTGATTAGACGGAGAAAAAGTGTTTTTTTATCTTTGAGATCCGGGCCGAATTACGATAGGTAGGGGTAGGGGAGGGAGTATAATGTATAAAATAAACCAATTTAAATTTTGAACAGAGCGAGGAATGGATTACATAGATGTGTGCTGTTTTAACATTTTTTTTTTCTCGACGGTGAAGTTTTCGAAGAAAAAAATACTAGCGAATCTCAGTTCAAAAACTTCGTAAGTGCTTCCTTGTAGGATTTTGTACAGGGAAAGTGGTCTCTTGAAATTCCTTGAACTTTTACCCTAATATTGAGAAAAAAACCCGCTTTAAAACCCAAAATATCTACAAAACACGTCACCGATGTTTGTCAAAATCAATTTTATTATAATTTTGTAAAGTAAAACCTGTAATTTTTAATGATCAGTACTCAGGTTTGCATTTACCAAACGCCAATATTTTTCAAGTATTTTTAAGTTGTTTATACTTGAAATATTGTCAAGTTTCTTTTTTTGGGAAAAGAATTATCTTCGAAAGTTTTTTCGCTGGTCAAAAATCTACAAATTATTGAGTCATTAAATATTTACAATTAAAAATTTAAATTTTGATCAAACTCGTAACAATTTTGTAAAATGATAAATTACTTTGTACAGACAAAAATTAGAAGCATTTTAAATTTCAATTTCTCGCTGCTATCAAATCTAAAAAGGCAGAAAAAATCAGTAGTCCCGTGGATCGTTACAATTTCAGGCCCACAAAGACCGCAGTTAGGAAATTACTATAATTTTAGACCAAGGCGTTTAACTTTGAAATATTTCCTGCCTTTTTTTTTAACTTTTAAGTCTGGGCCCCATATGTAGAACATTGATCGGTCCTGGGCCGTTGTATAATTTCATTAATCCGACTTCATTTGAAATGGATAATAATATTATGCTCACGACGGGGCGAATAAAAACAAGAATTATTTTACAAATAAATATCGCAATGTATTAAATCGTATAAATAATTAATGTGAAAAACTGACCGAAACGATAAAACACGTTTTAAACGAAAAAACTGTTTTTTCTCGCCAATCTACAATATATTTTACCCGACTCGCGGATGGTTAACGAATAAAACGCAATAATATAATTATATTACATCAAAACGGTAAAAATTCATTTAGAATATACCTACTATAGTTTAGTTTAAATTTTACCTAACTATAACCATACAATTGTCGTTGCGAGTATTGTTTGAAAAAAACAACGTTTCTGCTGAATTGTATAAGTGTTTTTGTTTTATCCATCGTAAACAGTACTTACTTCTACACGCTATTATATATTGTATAGGGGCTGTAAAAACAATATATTCTTTATAACCTATCTACCATTTTTTTTTTCGTTTAATAAAATCGATTCAAAAATTGATGTTTGAGGAGTATACACGTGTGCCTATTATTTAGATAAATTACACACTGTATGAACTACGGAAAAATCGATTCGAAAGCGTCCAAAAAACCATTATATCTGGTAATTTCTTTTTATTATATATTATACGAGTATTTACTATACAACACGCACTCTACATCATAAAATAACGGTGTTCCGAAACTAAAAAAAAATATCCAGATAAAGATAAAAGATAGGTAAATGTATTTTTATCTAGATATAAAAAAAATATAAATATATATTTTTATGTTACAACGCTGAGCTAAGACCTGACTTTGCAAATAGACGCAGGATTTATTGGAAACTCAATTAAGAAACATTATACTCAAAATTAAAAGTTAGTTTAATTTTCTTCTATATGTTAAATCGTTAAATTACAACGTTTAGATTAACTTCAATTCAATTTAGAATAAAAAATGTGTCCACGTCCAGCCTTGTCCTATAAGGTAATGGGTGTAGAAACTTGACTTGAAAACTAAATATAGAGTATTTAAGTTCAGGTAATAAAATTCATGGATCACTAAAAAATAAACAAAAGACTGCCAAAAAGCTTAAAACGAACTTAACTTAACAACATACATTGTTTATAAACTCATTTATACCAATCTATAGTAGGTATAGAAAATCAATGGTATTATTACTATTAACGGTTAAAAAGCGAATACAATTTAAAATAAAAACATTTTCGTTTCGACGACAGTTTTGATTAGGTATTTAATATTTTCTTTAAAAAAAAAAAATATATATATCTTTAATAATTCTTTTAGATGACTAAAATGTTTATCTCAAATCAATATTTAGACGAGCTAAAAGATGAGCAGTATTTATCTAGATAAACACTGCACAAAGCGTGTAATTATAATGACAGTTACTGTGTCGTAGTACGTGCGGTACAGTATACGAGTGCGTTCGACATCGTTTTCTGAGCACCAAATCAACGGGAATCGAAAATAATAATATTATTATAATTATTATTGTATTCTGAAAAGCGCGCTACAGAAATAATAAATAATAACACGCCAAACTGGCGAGACAGCTTTTATACATACACATATATATATATATATATGGGGGAAAAAAAATAACAATAAAACCGTGTGTTGGACAAACAAAAAAAAAAAAAACATTTACTTTCGTAATGCACTACATTATACTTACGAATATTATAGACGGCCGTAAATATACACGAGAATAATATATTGTTTAATTGAAAAATGCATTCTATGTATGTGTACGCGATATACGAAGAGTATATTTTCAAAATGTAACAAGTGCGTCGGAAAGGGGGAAAAAACTCTCGCGCGTATAATAATATGTGGGGGTATTGCAATCATACATTTATCGTATTTTATATGTGTATAAAAGCGTAGTATACCCTTTTGATATATTTTTAAATTAAACCTTTTGGGCGCGCGCATGAAAAGGATGCATGTGACGTTTCTAACTGAATTATTGTGTACACACGCATATATACGCTGTACGATACGCGCATATAATACAATTACGCTGAGTGATTTTTTTCCAATTTTATAGTTTGCCATATTATTATTATTATTATTATAAACTGCTGCAGCAGGCGCGGTATAATTCAATAAAAATAATAACAATATTATAATATCGGTACGTTTTACCGCCGCCACCGCCGCCGACGCGTGAAAATCGTCAATACCGTCGCGCAAAACTGTACGAAAAATCCCGTGCGATACCGTTCGATCATGTTACCGTATGATTGCCGTCAGGTAACCCCCTCGGTACGAGGATATTAGGCTACCGCTCTTAAGAGATGCGAGCGGAACTCTGGCGCGCCGTACGCGAAGTCGTTCGACCGGACGGAGGGGCGGGTGAATACGCCGGTAAAACCGTCGTGGGACCGTTCACGAGATGCTGCATATTTTGTCGGTACGGCAAAACAAACGTTTTGAGAAGATTTTTGAATCCTGTCTGTACATCATCTTCTTTAAACGCTCTTAGATATTCTTTAGAACTCGAATCCAAGGTCATCCGGCCGAAATATTTAGTTATACCCGGAAACGCGACCACACTGTATATCGAAACATGTATAGCGATTTGTATACATTTGTTGTCTAGGGTTAGCTTTGGTGTTTCGCCGCTGAGAATTCGAGACTACGACTGACGAAGTTATGGACGATGACGATTAGAAAAAAAAAAAAAAAAATTCATTCGATATTTCGAATTGATAAAATAAAATCTTCATACAATGTGTGTGTGTGTGTGTGTGTGTGTGTGTTTGTGTATGTGTCTCAGTATATATTACATCTTATTAATATTGTGTTCGTATGAATACAATAATATTGTAACTATCGAAATCGAGAAATTCGTATACACGCATCTGGATCGTATTACAATATGATGTGTTTGCGTTATTTATTATTTGTATTCGTCGGACAGTAATTATTACTCCCTAGCGAGAATAACGCGCAGTTACGACGAAAATATATACTATAATATATTATCATAAAATCGTGTAAATTAGGTAAATTATTGTCATACCGTTGCTGCGCAGCGAACGACTGCAGGTGGCCGCGGCGAACGCGCAATTTTCCCGAAAAAACGTAACGTTCAAGTGTCGTGCAATAGTATCCGTGTTAAATAAACGTAAGCTTAGGGTGCGGGGTGGGCTAAAAGGGCTGAGCTGTACTTGTTCCGCACATTTTTAGATAAAAAAAAAGGTAACGTTAAAACCTTTTGCTGAATGATAATTTTCAGGAAAACTATAAGAAATGTTGAGGAGGTTAGAGGAGCATTGGGAAGGGGGGAGGGGCTATAGTCCCATTAGCCCTCTCCCCAGAATCATACTTTTATGCAGTTAAACGAGTAATGATGTCCGAATATTATGACGAAGTAAATGATGGCTCGCCGTCACGAGGGTAATTTTTATATATAGATCGCGCTGTTTAAAGAATGCAGAAACTATATACTTATATAAACGGATTAAAAATAATAATGTTACGAACCGACGATGATAACGTTCAACTTTTTTACAGAATAATAATAATAAAAAACCGACAATTTTTTTATACCTATATTTTAATATAAAAAAAACTCGAATAACTTTATCATTCAATTAGCGGTCGGAAATATTTAATTTACCTCCGGGGTTGAGTTCCACTTCCCCTTCGAATCCCTCGTGCTGTTGCTGCTGCTGCTGATTCAGGGTGACGACAACAATGATAACTAATATTGTAAACCGACACGACAATGGCATTGGGCAACAATATGCGAGCTTTTTCCGTCGAGTTCGGTTTTTTTTTCTTTATACACAGACCGCCCGCGCTATTATAATAGTATTATACATGTACAAGTCCGACGGTAAGAATAATATTATTGTAATTAATTATCGCACGGCGCAAAAGACCTTCCAGAAAAATAACGCCAAACCCGAAAGATTTCCAGATACGTGTACAGTGAAACCTATCTCAACGGACAAAATATTGATGTACCAGCAAAAACGTGGGTATTTCAGTGTATTTCAACCTGTTCACAATATACGTGGAATTTGATATTTTATAGTAAAACTATATAGACAATCAACGAACTATACGTCTAACAGATTATTTTTGTGTCGTTGAAAACGATCTGGACAACTTAGCCTATCAGAGTGGATGATAACATATTATTATCCTCTTTTAACTAGTCATTTCGCTCTGATTGCTCAGTGTTTGCGGTTTTTTCATTGCAATGAGCACCTCTTGTACCATGAAAATCGTTCGGTTTAAAGCAAAAAGCAGAAATATTATTCGGCGCAATCAGACACTATATAGAGTGGCTTGTCTGTTCGTAAACTCACTGAGAAATTCGGCATTGGGAAAACGCAAAAAGCCAAACGAATTTTACTATAAAAGTTTTAAAACATTTCTATAGTGGACATTTTTGATGGTCCTGTGAGTTTCTGTTATAGGCAGGTTCCATTCTATTAAAGTTTCGTTAATTTTTTTTAGATTATGGTCCTGTCGGTGTATAAATAATAGCAATGCCGTCGTCGTGTGTTAACTTTTACTGTTCGAATAACGTTTGAAAAGTTCACGTACAGGTTTTCACAATATTCCATAAAATTAATGAAATTATGTATAGGAAATGTTCAAATCCTGCAAAGACACTCTGTATGATACATACATATATATAACAAGGTAACGGCCTATACAATTATATCTATACATTTTGATATTGTTCTTTAAGGGTTTATTGAGGAGGGGAGAGAGGAAGGAGGCCCTAGGCGTACATTTCATTAGGTGGGTTACGCCCATAAGTTTGGTAAAATGAAATTTGAAGGCAAACGGTTGGACGAAAATATCGCCTTCGTAATATTATTATAAAAAATATCGAACCCGTGACGCGCTGCAGCGAATAATACGGAAATGAAACTCGATAAAAAAATAAAAACGGCAAAACGCGACATAAAGATATATAGTATATAATATAAGTAACGTTTCGGATCTTTCGACAATATTATCGAATAAAAATCGTGTTATTGATACGGATACCTTTCGATTTTTTTTTTGTTTTTTTTTTGTTTTATCCGACTTACAGAGTATAATAACGACATCAAACGGTTTGCAACACGGTGTAAAATCACCGCAGTCTAGAAGCACTGTACTAAATTATTCAAGCCAAACGGATCGTATACCGACAATACATCATATCATTATAATATATCGTAACTACCGAAAGGCTCGTTTTGTATATAGTTTTAATAATCGTTAATATTTTATGCTGCGGATTTACTCATACAGAATCGCGGTTACCTTCAAACGTATTATTATTTTCGTATCGTGTTCCTGGTCTATTTTTTTTTTTTTTTTAATGCTGATCGTGATTGAGCGGTAACCACCGCAAACTCCTACGCCACTGCGGTGTGCTCCGGTTCGTAATATTCTCGTAAACATCGCTCGAAAACGACCGCACAATCAAGACGGGCGAGGGAAAGGAAATTTCGTTGTGTCGCTCCGAGCTCTTACAACAATAACAACAACAAATTATAATACGTTATTAGTAAGTTTATATTATACGGCGTGTATAATAGTCTGTTTAGTCTGTTTATTAACTATATATAATATACAGGATGATCCACTGAAGTGGCTACATTCGATATTTCGAAAAGTATTGAAAGTTGTTCAAATATTTTATTTTTGTTGATGAATTAAAAAACAATCGTTCTGAAACTTTACATAAACGTTATTTCTTTCATTCGTTTTTTTCGAGAGGTGAAACAATACTACCTGCTTTTAATTTTAAAATAGCAACATAAAACAAAAATGGCATTAATAGATGGAGTGTTAGTTTATAAATATATTTTAGCGTTGAAATATTTGATTTTCCCGTCAACCGTCAATTTACTTTTCTAACTACCAAGTGTAACCTCTTAAACGGATCAGTGATCACCCTGTATAATACACTGTATTATAACATGTAGGTATTACTGCGGTTATTATTGTTTTTATCCACGTCTCCCTCCGGCCACTACTTCCCCTCTGAAGTCTTTGTTTAACAGTATCAATATTTTTACGATCGTTTATTAGTTTTGATTTATTCTAATTAAACGCATTGCGATCATCAACTACGGTCGACGAAATAACGAGACGTACGACTATATAAATAATTATTAATTGTCGAGACAGCGCATGCGGCGGCTCGTGTTGCAGGAATGAACGAGCGTGGGGGCCGAAAACGGTCCGAGTCCGGGTCAAATCTGAAGTCAAATCGTCGTCGTCGTCGTTGTTAAATCGAAGTCAGTTTTCTCTCTCGTTTTACGCATAACATTAATTATATAATCGAATATCCAGAGATCGTTTGGAGATAATTATATTTTCTTTTATGTCGCGTAATAGTATAGCATAGGTTATGCGTCATAATCGCGTGAGACAATTATTAAACTGTACCGAAAGCGTATTTTAAAGATTTGTCAATTTCCCGCCGAATTACCTGGGAAATTTTCGTTTCCTGCAGACATATCAAGTATATACAATTTATATGAAATTTATGCAATTTTAAAAAACAGCTTATACTTCGGGGTTTTACTCGCTCTGTCCGTTTAAAATCGGATTATTATTTTTAAAGATTATTGTGTTCATTATGGTAATTATAGCATAGCATATTAATTCGTTTATTATATAAAAACTCCAGTAATAATTATTACTTTATTATAAAAGTAACCATGTGTGGAGTGGCCGGTCTAAAAATGGAAACTTTACAGATGGCCTCGGTCGTATAATTACGGTCTGGTTATCAAATAATAACGATTTGTTGATTTGTTTATTATATCTCCGTCAAATTTCGATTCGTTTAAAAGTGGACTACATAAACTGCTTCTTTAACCAATTCAAATAAATTAAATCGTTTATTGTGATAGGCATATGTAATATATAATATACACTCAATGTTTTAGTGAACTTTATTTTGTAAACTAATTTTATTTAATACGATTACATTATTATAAATTCAACGGAATAATTCTTGAAATAATTTGTGTGTAAGTGGTAAGTACTGAAATTATTAATAACACAAATAACTAAATATTTCGATCTGGATAAATTCCGATTTCCCTGCCTGAATTTACAGGTTACCACTCCATCCTTACCGAATAAATAACTGATTAAAAAAAAGAGCATCTTGTCTTTATCGTTTACTTTTCTCTTATAGCTGAATAACTCAGTATTTTTCGAGCTGAATTGAAAACAAAATGATACATCCCACATTTAATATAGAAAGACTGTCTGCCTAACGTCCCTTCCTACATTCTTATCCACATCACAGCTAATCGCCATTGCCCCATAATATATCTTTTATAAAGAGTACGTCTTTGTCTGTGTAACAACCAAATTAAATAGTAACAACTGAGGTTTTTATTATTTCATCCGTATCTCCAAGGAAATCCTGCGGAAATCAATAAAAAAAAAAAAAATAACAACAAATTCGATTTGTTCATATTAAAATAATATCGAAAATAAAGTGTAAAGTAAACCGTTCATAAAGAGGTTACATTTCGAGATGAAATGTATACGACGACGTTCCTTTTATTTCGAACGTCAATAAGTATACGGAGTTTTATCAAGATCGATGAAAAAAAAAAAACTGTAGATTTGTTTAGCGGACAACGACGTATTATGCAGACTGCAGAATTTCAATTTTATAAATTAGATTATTGGCGTCCGCGTTGCAATCGCAAAAAGTTTATTCATTTAATTCGAAAATCTGATTCGTTTTTTTTTTCCACGCAACGTGTACGTATACACATTGTACTTTGATGTTTTGCTCGCATCACCCCTTATTTTATACTCGTACAATATAGCTGGGGCGTTTACACGCGAGACAACGTTATCTGTCGGGCATACGCTTACGCAGTATAGAAAATAATATACAAAACGATGTCTGTGTTTACCCGGGTCGGTTCCGGCGTCGTTCACACGCCATTTTTAAAACACTCGGGCGGCCGATTGTTTTTTTTTTTTTTTTTTTTTTTTTTTTTTTAAAAAAAAAAAAAAAAAAACAAACTTTTTCACGTTTACATAATTGGATTAAGATGCGTCCCAGAGATTGCGTCTTTTCTCGTACATATATATATATATACTATCATGTATACGTTTTTTTTTTCTAAACATAAAATGTAAAAAAAAAAAAATAATAATAATAATAAATACAGTGAATGTGTACTACGTGCCGGTATTGCGCGCGGCGTATACGCGTTTTGTCTTCTGTTTTACAAACGAGATTAACCAGTTTAGACGTTTTTTGATTTAATAATTTAACATGGCGTAGGTATAGGCTAACGCGGTCCACTTTGTCCCTTTGTCGAAAATATAATAACAACGGCATAATGATGATAAAAAGTTACGTAACGAAAAACAAACGAATTTATCGCGTATGTCTGATACCTGACTATACCTGATGGCCCGTTTAAGCTTCCGGTCGGATGTGCATATAAATTGTTAATTTATATAATACGAAGTCGCATGACAAGTCATCGTATGAAAGAAAAACCGTTTTACGGTTTTTAGACGAATATTATTTGATAAACAAAAAAAAAAAAAAACCGAAAACCCGAAGTAATATGTGATAATATGGTATTTGTGAACGATTGTGTAGGTGTTTGTATTTATCTAAATTTTTTTTTCCGAAGACTGCGGTTTATTTTTCGTCTTTGTTTTAATATGATTTAAAACAAAAAATGAAGTCCAGCTTACTTTGCACCGTGGGCGTTGAAAACCACTGTTCCAGGTGGGAAATGCGGAACGAATATACGAGTGTGTATAGGATATAGGATAATTTGGTTTGGGAAAATATACCGAGAACAGCGATAAATCATTTAATTGAAAAACGATTCTGAACAGAGCTCACATTAACGTAACACATGGCCAGCTTGAAAATTCAGAAGCATCATTAATATTATGTCATATCGTTCAGTTATCGCTGAAACGATGACGAAATTCATTCGACGCGAGTCTATGCAATATTCCAAAGAGGTTTTTTCGTCGATTATCATTGCTGAACGCGGAGAAATCAAACTGTCCCAGTAAGAGTATTCCATCTCGTCTAGCGCACCTTGCCCCGGGTGCCCGTGTGTTACGTCTTCGCATGGGCAGCTCGGAAGCTCAACATAAAAAAATACCGGACGACGTTCGGAGACGACGGCGGCGAAAATATCCGGCGAAATTCGCTCGTCTCATTTGCGTTTAAAACGAAATAACGCGCAACAAAATATTCCGACGGAAAACAAACGTACAACGCTACGGGCGTTACGTTCGTTTACGACACGCGCGCGATAAAGAAGACCGGAAAAAATCGCCGAAACGAAATAATTATCGTACCCACGTTAAAACACGAACATTTTACAACACTTCTTAATTGTACAATAAAAAACGTTTAACGTACCTACAACACCTATACAACGCCGTACAACCGGGCGTCCGGCTATTCCCCTCGCCGTCCGCCATCAACTCCACCTCCGCCGGTCGCGCAGATTTATAATAATCGTATAAATACGATCTCCCGGGGAAACTGTAATATTTCATACTACGACTGTATAATAGCGTACGGGCGTATCATTATCATTCCGGTAAATTCATTTTAGGGGTTCTTTTTTTTTTTTTTATTCCGTATAAATAGACATTAGGTTTATTATTATTTTTTTTTTTTTTAAGGTAGGTATACATTATTTTTAAGGTATTCATTAAACCGTAATTAGTCGTAACACATAATATATAATATCATACCGGCGCAGCCGCCGCCGCTCGCACTCCTTGGCGGTTGGTCGGATGTGTATCAAAACGGTTATTTTATTATTATTATTATCACGACGCGCGCACGCGTTTTATAACAACGTAACGTGTGTATAGGTATACACAGAAGTATAAAAAACGGCGGACGGGAGAGAGGGGGAAATTGATACGGGGAGACAGAGAGAAAAAAAAACACTTATCTTTCCGAAACGATCGCACCGGCATCATATCCGTAGTTTGTCGAGTCTGCCGTCGCCGGTCCCGCGGATCGAGCCTCGCAGGCACACACCACCGCACGTTCGTTATTATTATTTTTTTTTCTCTAACCGTATTTCCGAATGTCCGTATATATATATATATATATATATTTTATTTTATAGCAATATAATATTGTAATACGCGTGTTGCTTATGTATTATTATACGGAATTAGCCCGGGACCGCAAATCGGAACGGTTTTTTTTTTTTTGTTCCGAGTCACGTCGGATTGAAACATTTGATGCGTTTCGAATTCAAAAAGAGAAAGAGACAGAGAGAGAGAGAGAGAGAGAGAACAAATGCCGAAGATAGAAATAAACGCTCGTCGTAGTGTACATAATGTATTTCACTTCGTAATATGACGTGTTACGTGGAGTTGCGTAGGTTCGGATGATCATAATAATTACCAAGAATTTTTTTTTATTTTTTTTTTTAACGACGACGGACAAAACCGCGTAGTAAGAGTGAGTAGAGGAGGAGCGGGAGGCGAGAGAAATGTAATGTCGATTTGATAACGTGCGTTTATTGCGTGCACACAAAAATCTATATGTATAATATTCTAAACGAGTAATGTTATTATAATACGCTAAATGGAAATTAATCGCCTTGGTGATGTACAACTGGATGTACATTAATACTATATCAATCGCGGACCACATATGCGACGTCCGTGTGCAAACGAAAATAATAATTAATAATTAAAACAACGTGTCAAACAATTCCGCGGTAGGGGGGGGAGGACACATTTAATGTTCCCTTTCCGCCCGCCCACGTTGTAAAACGTTTTTATGGATTTTGACCGCGGACGGTCAAACAGCTGCGCTGCGTTTGTTTATTCCCCTTGCTTCCGCTCCTCCGTCTGTTTTCGACCTGAAAAAGTCTCGCTTCAATCGCATATACGCCGAACGGGCTTTATTGTACGGCGTTTCCGAAATCCTTTGTGTATTTTTCCTAATATAACACCGTGAAAAAAAAAAATCGCTTTGATTCGATTTTTTTGAAATACAACGATAATCGTACTCGTATTGAGATTTTTCATACGCGTGGTGAAATCCCCGTTAAAGTATTTTGGCTTTGTACTATTATTTTCCGACAGCTTTTTGATGAATTTACGCCGATAATAATATTTTTCTGTCCGCGTTTAAATGTTCGACAATTTGATAAGTACAATAGTATCGCAAAAATAACTTTGCGTACAGTTTTAAATTATCTAAAGAACAGTGGAGAATTCATGTAACCGAGTTTCGTTGAGAATCGTATTTCGTTTGGTTCGTTATTGATTCGAGTTTCAGTTTTTATTTATTTATTTTTTTTTTTATTTTTTGTACGTTTGTTTTCAATTTACTATTGGCCGCCGACAGTTTGCAATCAATAATCTTCGGCCACGTGGCGGACGACACTATGCAAGTTCAAATAATATTAAACTTTCCTTTGCGATTTATCATCGTTTTCGACACCACGCGCATACGGATATCTAATATTAAAATAATGCTTTCCGGGCGTTATAATAATATATCACTCGCTTCTATTATAGAGAATACTATATGTAGGTGTTTGTTTAGGACGCCTGCACCGCCGCGGCGCGCCGCCAAAAAACCATCGAAAACTCGAGAAACTTAAACTTTACACGACAAAAGCGTTTAGTAAGGCAGGGATTTCGCGCAAAATGTTCTCGGAAAACTTTTCCGTCGTACAGGTATAACGCAATACTTATAGTATACGACGTTGTTATACGACGAATACGAATTTCTCACCGGTTATCGATAATCACTATAATATTATATGTATGACGGATAATACGCCTAGGACTCGCATGCACTGAAAACATTTAAATACGTATGCAATTATGTATATATATACACACCTTAAAAACTACCGAAATACGCTTGCCCTTAAGACTTGCCAAGAAATAAAAAAAATAACAAAATAACAAACAAAAAATTGGGAATTCTAAAATTGTATTTTATCATCACGTTTAATGCAATTACAAAATGTTGCAAATATTTGTACAGTATTATTATATTTTTAGATTAAAAATGTACAGTATTATATATTAACAAATATTTTGTTTGAAACAAGGGTATACATACTAAAGTTATTAGCTGACCTGATAATATTTACGAAACGAACGATTCTCGATTTATTGAATTAAAAATGTATTTATTAAAATATTTATTTTATTTACTATTTAAACATTTTCATAATCTTAATATTTACGTCCATACAATTGACTCGTTATTATTGTTTATATTATTTAGACTACCCTCTCGGTACAAAATCATAATTTAAACTTTTTGAAAAAATTATTATTCGAGGAGTGGAGTTAAAAATTAAAAATATGAAAAGCGAAATTTCTCTACGCGTTTTTACTCTCTGTTAACTTAAACTTCTCGATGCACTTTATAAATTTACATTATCAATTTGTATCGTATTATGAAGTCAAACGCCTTAAAATACGATATTGTATGTGCATTTTTAATAATATTGAATTCAATTTCCTATGTAAAAGATTATAAGTTAAAACAAAAATAAAATAATAATAATAATAAAACGATTTACGAAACGCCCGAAAATTTGCGGCATAAAAAGAAATTCAACTGAATTGATTTAATTTACTAAACTGAGTAAATAACTACCCACTAAAATGTTTAAAACGCAAAAAAAAAAAATATTTAAAAAACGCTAAACGGAAAAAAAAAAGGTTCCTACACGGTTTTACTCACTGATTATATATTCCGGTTAATAAACGGTTACTGAATCGTCAAAACATAAATTTGTAAACTCGATTACTTTGATAACACTTGATAACATTATCACAATCGAGAATAAAATATAAGTAAATTTTTTTTACTTTGTGTTTTTTCATATGAATATTACAATATTAGTCATTCGTCACTTTATTAATCATTAGTATTAATATCGATAGCTACTATTGCATGTTTGTGATGACGGGCACAATAGAATCCGTTGATGATATTAATAAAAACACCGAAATAAAGCCTTGAAAATAATTACTTCTTATATTTTTTTAAATGTACCGCCATACGGTTGGAATAATAGACTGGGGAAAATGCTCCAGTTCCCGCCCCTCTCCTCTTCTGCACACGACGCCGCTGCCAACGTGCAGCAATCGCAATCACAATTCATCCAGACATCATACCCTCCGGAATAATCGCGAGTAGTATACACACAATGCGTATAAGAACGATAGCCCGTAACCAATGAGAACGCCGTATTCCGTTTCGGCGTCTATGACGATTTTTGTATTATGTATCGCCGACGACGACGACGGCGGTTTCTTTTTATTTCGACTCTGCAGTAAAATAAGCCGTCGGAAACGGTATTATCGCGTTGACGGACAACCGACGCGAAATGGTTTTCGGTTTGTTTTTTTTTTTTTTTCTTGTCCGCCGCATTCTCGCGCGTCGCCGACCCGCACTCGAAAAGGTCCGTCTCCGCAGTCAGTACCTGCAGTATAATATTCGTTTTTGTTGCGGCCGTGTAGCGTATTGTGCAGAGGATGACACGGTAGTTTTCTGCGGGCGGTCCACTTTACATTGTTGCCCGCTGCATTTTTAATGGTTTTTTAAACTTGTAAAAACATTCGCTTCCATCCGATAAAGCCGAGGGACGCGGCTGCTGCAGGTGCGCGGCGCACACGGTAACCGCACGTCCGCGTATTATTATCGCACTCGGCGCACACGGACTCGCCGAACATCGATTTCGAATAAATCGTACAGAAATATTATTATATAATATTTCATGTACACATATACTTAGGTACCTGATGCGCGGGCACTCGTGTTTTGTACTGCGCCGGCTCCTCTGACGGTTCATTAATCATTTCGCTTGACGCGCTGCTGTAGCTGCTGCTGCTGCTGCTGCTGCTGCCGTTGCTATCGCGTAATTTAAATATATCGTTCTATTAATTATAAATCACCGAGTAGTTACGCATGCCAGACGGAAAACTTGAAAACAAAATATGTTTATATTAAAACACGCGAGTAATATTACCCGGTCGGAATTATCGCGTTACATTCGTATATATGTATACTCTTATATATTAACGAATTACGCGTTTGTCGGTGAAACCGACTTTTGATTTCGTAAATCGCCAAAGTTTTAGTCGAAATCGATTTTGGTATCCGACTGGTTGCGGCGGCTAACGTCCGTTGACACGTGTGCACGGCGTGCTCGCGGTACTTTTCAAACACGACCGTAATACGTGCACATAAATAGTTGTGCGACGTGGTTAGGTATTTGACCGCGCGGAATATCCTTATCACAAACCTAATTGAAAACCGCGCCAACAGCCACGTTAAAAACCCGCGGTTCATTGCATCGCGATCTGCATTGCGAGTGATAATAATTATAACATACACTAGAGCCAAACGTATCAGTATTGCAGTTAATGGGTACGCAATATCCTCGTCAGTCCGTTTTGAATACACGGCGGGCTCTGGCAGCCCACAGGTTTTCGATGGGAACTTACGGCACCGCTTTTCAACCGTTTACCCCTACCTGTAGCAATTACTAATTCCGAGTCTATGTTAAAAATTGTTAATGGACATTATTATGTTATGCGATTCGGTTTAATGGCATTATATATTATAACTCCCTACACCGTCGGCTCAGCATAAAGGTGTAGGCAATTTCTGTTGTAATTTTTAAGATTATAAGTAAAAACGTGCGTTGAAAAAGCACCACCCAGTGACGGTCTCGGTTATAAACGATTATTACTTTCACGAAGCTTTATTATTACTGGTATTATTATTTATTTTGTCTGTTACATATAAATTGTTAGTTTTTATCATTTTTAACAGAGTTCACCTTTCATTCTTCTCAAACGTCTTTGATAAATATATATATAACGTACATATTATTGTGTATAAAATAATCGTAAAAAAAAAAAAGTTTCGTTTCGTCACAATTGGGTTCGTTTGGTACAGTATGATGATAAAAACAATATAATATTGTACATATTTTGTTTTTTTTCTAAAGAGGCGAATAAATAAAAAAAAAAAAAAAAAATGATAACAAAAATGAACTGAATAATAATAATATTATAATATCGATAATGACCTCTTTTTTTTTCACCCCTCCGTTTCAGGTTTGCTTTCGTTGGTTTTTCGTGATAATATTTTTACACGGCGTATTATCGTTATCAGTTTGGAAACGCGTACGTTCCTATACAAAAGTTATTTTAATAAATGTTTTACTCTCTGTGATGCGAAAAACAATAACAATGGCGCGTGTATTACAGTGTAACTTTATATGCGCACAATACCGAGAAAAACAACTGTATCGTCGAACTTTTTATCATCCCGTTTCGAGTTTGTGAAATGTGTTTAAAAAAAAACGCACAAAATTCACCACACCACGCAATATTTACTATATTTATCGGAGAATTGCATTATATAATTATTTTATCGCGAAACATTATAAAAATCTTGCGTATTATACATATGAAAATTGGGTGGGCGAGGTACTTTTAAATGCATATTTAGATGGCCCATGCTTACTTTTTATGTATTTAAATACCAGGTATACTACCGATGTTTGATACATTGAAATATAACCTATCAATTAAATTTCACAAGGATGCGGTAAGTATTGATTTGAAACATTTTTGTAAATTCTCAACAGTTTTTTGAAAAGACAAGGGAGAGAAATGACCCAGTTCGTCTTTTTAAATCTTATTGGTATATGGTTTTTATGAAAAAAATGTGTGCGAGAGAAATGTGGTTAAATTTAATTATAGTTTTCAGGAACGCCTCTCAATTTTCGGTGGATTTAGTCCATTTTCGATGTTTTTCCTACTTTAATCATTTATTATGATCGAAACAAACATTTATCAAATCTATACTGGAAATCTTCACGATAGACTACAATTTTCGGTGATTCGTGATCAAATATAATATAGAATCTCCTAGTATCATTGTCGCGTACTGTAGGAAGACAAAAATAACCGAGACGAAAATAGACGTAAGGATCTGGCGTTTCGCTATTAAAGTTAATTGCAAAATCGCCTCTCCGTGCTGCGGCCGGCACTTGAAATTAAATTTATCTCCACCGCCGCCGTCGTCGTTGGTAATGGTTTGGACCCACCTCTCTTTGTTTCGCGTAAAACGATTTTCCGGTCCGGTAATAACGGCGGTCGATGGTAATTTTGCGCTGCCACGTGTGCGTTTACTGGTCGGACAACCGTTGGCTGTGTGTTTTTGTTTGTTTCTTTAATTATAAATACTTACGGTACTGTGGTCACCTCTCTCGTTGCCTCTACAATCGATAGTTATTATTATAATTGTTATTACCTATGCCGCAGTAACGAACTTCCGGCGAGAAACCCCGACACCAGGATAATATATTAGCCTAACCGTCGTGATGACGGACCGTCAATAGCAGAAAGATTTATCCAGACACCTAATAATATTTGTTCATATTTTATTTTATCCAGATGAAATTGTTAATATATAGGTATCTGAAAATTATTCAAAACAAGAGAATAATGTGTTTTCAGTAATGTTTTACACATAGAGTGGTATACGCATTAAGTATGTTCCGTCTCGGTCCAAATAGCGGGCAATATAGCAAAATCTACCTTACGCAGACTGCGTGGAATCACCTTGATTTTGGTTTCAGAGGAAAATCATCAATTATAAAATTAAAAGAGGACAATAATCTGAAAGGAAAGGCGATGCGTTTAATTTTTAAATTAATTTATTAAAATGTTACAGTCATTTAAAAACGATAAACAGTCATTTGCTTCTAAACGATGTATTGAACGTCGTTATATTTGGAATAATGATTAGAACAATAAGAAAAAGTATCATCTTGCCCTCCAGAATACTGTTATTTTAATTCTATGATAGATGATTTTACTTTAAAACCAAAATTAAGTGAGTATTAGTTGGTTAGAGACTAGTTAGTTGGACTAAGACGGCGCATGCGGGTATGCCGTCCTCTTAAATAAATACATAATTTATACTTTTAGCTTAAACTCTAGTAATCTGTATCCATTATGATTTACATTATTTGCATCCATTATCCTTTGCATTTACAGAATGGTTTTAACCGTTTAAATGTTTACCTTCCTGCTATGTTTCAGAAAATTAAAAAAAAAAAAAACGGAACTTTTTTTTATCTATTTTAATATCTTATCTCGGATAATTTACATATTATTGTTATCTTTCTTTGTAACTATATATTATATAGAAGAACTTATATTTATGTGCATTTCAGCAAAGTAATCATAAACTTTAGACTATATAGGTAATCGCGGAGAACTCACGATTTATGGGAAAAAATCTTTTTTTTAACTTTTAATAGTGCGACGATGAAAAAAAACCCACTTATAGAAGTGATAAAAAAAATGATTTTTTTATAGATACGCGTAATATTCCGAAATATTTTGTACGTTTCATCAAACGAAATACACTCTTTACACAACAACAACAACAACAACAACAGTTTATAATACTATAATAAAACTATTTTTTTTTTTTGAATCCTTTGGAACATTTTTCTCGTATAATATAAAATAACGATAATAAACTATGACGTATAGGTGCATATAATAATACTGTGGTAATAACACCGCCAAGCTTTTTAGTTCTTGATTTTTCCTAATTAAAATATTATAACCGTCTGATGCCAAATCTGATCGAGCACGGACGTGGCACAATTTCGAAATTATTATAAAAGAGATCTACTCAAATAATATAAAGTTATAATTTTCTATTGAAGTTTATTTCGTATTACGCGCAGTTTTAAACGATAAGTTTTTTTTTTTTTTGTAAGCACAATTCATTAAATCCATTTATACGACAAACAAAAACAAATACTTTTCGAGTTTCTAAAAGCGGAAAAAACACGAAACTATACGTACGATTAATACGAGTATTATGTCAATGTTTATTCCTTCGCTACGGCAATAGAAAACTTTGTTTAGTCGGAATATGAAAATAAAATACGAATTAAATATATAGTTTTATATTAATATAGGGGAAGGGCGGAGGAGAGCAAGAAAATTTAAAACATTATATCACTATAAATTACAATATTATTTGTATTATTCATGTCGTCGGAGAATCTGCGATAATTCAGATTAATATAGAGGTAATTTTTATAAATTCAAAAACACCGTGACAACAATATTACTGTTATTATGCACTTTGAGCAGATATAGGTGCGGTACGACCACTAAACAAGTGTATTATACTAATTTAAATCTCGTATAGTGGTATTTAATGATTATTAATATTCAGCCACAAACTGCAGACTGCTATCCGACTTAATATTTTAACACTTGACAGGTAGACACAGACATTCGTTCGGTCGAAATGTATAGAGCCGTTGTAACATCTGGGGGCCTTACGGGTTCTTTGGCGACGATGCGAATTTCCGCAATATAAAAATGTATACGGCACTCCTCATCTTTGCGATATAATCTCGCGGGATTTTTTATTTTAATACGTACTTTCGTATTTCTGCAGTGAATTTTTTGAAAATAATCCGCGTACCGTTATGGTTACCGAACATTTTATTGTAACGGATATTGTTTTGTCGCCACGGTATCGTGGAATAAAATACATGTTCGTTTCTTCTTCCAAGGAAAAAAAATCGTTTTAAGAATGTAGTGATATAAAATAACCGGTTTAGGACACCAGTGCCCACGCCTGTCTGTAAACCGCCGCCGACCAAACCACGATTATAGCTATCCTGGTTAAGTTCCTGTTGCTAAGATAGGTTATGGTCACCTATCGACTAGTGATGCGTGTCTGCTGAACTGAATCCACCAGTTCATGAGAAACTTGTCACGTCGAGCTCTACGTAGATTTATATTTGGCTAGTGTGATATCAAACGTGAGGGTTTAATCGCCGGTATCTTTAGTTTCTTAATTGAATATTCACCCGTACCGTCATACAAGCGCTACAAGTCTAGAAATAAGTTGATTTGGTATTTGTTGCTACATATAAAAATTCTTATGACATTTGCAGGTATTTTTCCATCCATGGTGTTCAACGACAAAAATATTATTTAAATGTATTGTTTAAAAGAACGGTCGCAACTCACAACAAGTGCCAGTATCGCTTAAAGCTCAAATATTCCTGAGTCCCGTTCATCGGTAACACTAAGTCGATCCCGTTATCAACATGCGTTTCCAGTCCTGTAATAGTTAGTATGTCTGGGTTCGTGCTTACATAGAACCGGTCGTTTTACAGTTTATACCGCGTTTATCTGTATAGAACACCGCGATGGTTTATACCGTTCTTCGGTCGGTCCACCACCCGTACGTTCTGCGGCGGCCTATTCGGCAGGCGGCGGATTCCCGGGCGTACAGGACGTTCGGAAAGGGGAGGGATCCCGTACACGTTCCCGGATCCGGCGGCGATGGGAGATTGCGGGGTACGAGGACCGAGACGGCGAACACGACGTGTCCTGAATCGTGTCGCGGAAGATACGTATATAATATTATATAAAACCCCGGCAAAACGCTCCAGTACACCCGGCCTCGGGTATTATTATTATTATTATTATTATTATTAAACGTAAACTTTTCGCCCGCCGGTTGACGTGCCAGGCGTCGCAGAGTCGCTCCCTCCGACCGCCGCCATGGCCGCCCGGCGCACAGACGTCGACGATAACCGCAGAAACCCTCCGCCGCGAACCGTTCTACTGGAAGACGTTTTCATAGCCGTTCGAGTGTGAACCCACTGCCGCCGCCGCAGCCGTTTGCGAACGGCACAGTGCTGCCACGCCGCTGCTCTGTCATCGTTGTCGCGCGTGTATAATAATAATAATTTACCCCGTCTCGCCCGTCCGCCGGCGATAATCGTCCGGTAACCGATAATAATAGTAATAAATAATAATAAAAATAATAATAATAATAATGATAATTTCTCCGGTCGTTTTTATCCGAGATTCCGGCGGGAAAACGCGCGCTACTATAATACTATACTTTCATATTAGCGATGTTACTGCGTTATTGTTAAATCCATTACGACGCGGCTACACATACGGCCGCCGATCCCGCGAACAGTCCGGGGGATTTCAAGTGAAAAATAATCAAGACCGTTTCATTATTGCGATTGAAATATTACAGGTTATTGCTTTTCGCGATAGTTAAATATAGTTACTGTTCACTCCTTCGTCATATCGGGGGGGGGGGGGGGTTAAATAATAATAACAATAAAAAATACGTCAGCGTAAGAGGATATCGTAATATTACTCGCGTGCGTGGCGTAAACTGTGTCATCACAATAATATAGTGTACAGTGTCCGAAGATAATAAACATCATGCCATTAATCACGGAATAATTGTTCAAGCAATAAATAGAATATCTATACACTTTTGCATATAATGTAATATTTTATTTTCAAACCGTGCGTTATAATTTCGATATTATCGATTATTGCTCGATAATTTGTTTAGTCACGTATATAAATGCACGAAAATCTTACACATTTTACAATTGAAGTGCTTAAACGAGTTACGATAGGTTTTTTCACACAATATAATCATTACCTATGTCCAGGACCTAAAATACATCAGATTTCAGGTGATACACTTTTTAATTCAATTGATAGAGTTAATAGATTTTCATTGCCAAAAAAAAACAAGTGGCAGGACGTAGCTCTTTATTCACTACTTACCTTACACATATATACTGTTTATACCCAATAAGTATGTACTAAAAATTATCAACACAAAATAAATATCAATAAGAGTTTAAACAATTTTACTAGTATAAAACAATTTAAAATTAACGTCATGTATTGGTTAGAGTGATCTCATTCACTGATTGTTATTATCTTTAAAAACATTTCTACAATAAAAACTAAATATTAAATTGTATACATATTTGCAATTCAGAGGACACACTTCGATTTTCAGGGAACACATTTCGTGTCAGGGGGCACATTATTTTCGGTCCGGCATATGACTTTACAGTGATAAACATAACATTCGTTATACGCAATACGCATATATCTAATTTGATCTCGAACGAAACAAGTTTTTGTTTTTAATTGTTTAGTATACGAGGTACGATGTATAAATTCGATTAATTTAAAAACTCGGTCGGTTTTCCTTGAGTTTCATTTTATAATATATTTTTACACGATGCGGTCGTACATACTATACATATCGTAACTAAATGTGTAGAGTTTAACTCGCTCGAGCGTTACACGTTATTTTATCGCATCGTTGTACATTTATTTTGGATTTTTATTGTTTCGAAGAATGTGTATTCCGCAGTAATAAATCGCAATAATTACACACTTGGAGTGTCTAAACCAAGATGGCGCGGTTGCTTATTCAAAGATTTATAAGAGAATATTATTATTGTATACTTAATGCTAGTGGTGTATCAACGGGGATGGGGGAGGACTAAAATGAGTACAATTCATCCCCAAGATATGTTTTGTGTGAACACAATATTTAGATTCTGGGCGAAGAATTTATTGGGTTTACTCTGATGTGTTTGTTTTTGTATTTGTTAATAGCTTTTCTCCTGGAAATCTTGTTCCAATCAAAAACTTTATAAAAACTTTTTGTAACATTTTATTTTTCTTAGTAACAGTAGTTTTATTTTATAAATCATTCTTGTTAATTTTTTGGTTACCTTGGTTACAAAAGAAAAATACAACTAATACTAATAATGCTTTGTTCAGAATCCTTTTTTAGTTAGAAACAGTGTATGGTACAGATACACATTTATTATTCTATATAATATGCTCTATTCTTACTGCCTTCTTAAAAAAGTGGCACACTCATCAGAATTCAGTAATCTTATCTTTTTCGTGCTCATATTATTAAGTTATCATAATTTTTATTGTATTCTAGACGGTGTAAAATAATATTTGAACTATTTTTCAAAACGAAAAATCAATGATATGTATTTAGGAATGAACGAATATAGAATTTTGTAAATCCAAATAATTTTTAAATCCCATTTCTACTCTAGCTACAGTTAACCCGGGTGAAAATATGATTATTATGTATAAAATAATAAAAAAAAAAAAAACGATTTAAAACGTATGCGTATTCGTTTGGCGAATATAAAATGCAATTCAATGACTAGTTTTCGATTACCACTGCAATTCGGCACTGTTATTTATTATAATTAAGGTCATCCGGGTTTGGTTTTGTATCGACACAATCCAGATATTATAATCTCACGAAATAAACTACTGCAGTAACGACATTTTATACAATTTACATGTGAGTATAGAGTATACAATATCGGATCCGATTAGAAACACTCGTCCAGTATGCGCGATATCGAACGTGCTACCACAGATAATGTAATATATTTGAATATTTTTATTTTTTTTTTTTTGATTTTTTATTTCATCCGTTTGAATAAAAACTGTGATTGATTAACCAACGGGTTTACGATATTATTTAGCAATCGCGTTTTTTTAAATTGCTAGACTACACAGAAATACTTGAACATTTGATAGGAGGTTTATTAAAATACGAAATAGCGGTTGAAAAAACAGGTTGGTATAACTGAACTTAATGTGTACTAAATAATTGTATGTATCATAACTTCCCAACTTCCCGTCTACAACCGTGGCATACTCATCTCGACACCAGTATCATCTCTTTTTGTTTTTTTTTTTTTTTTAATTGTTCAAAAATAATCGTAGAGATAGGAAATTTTTACGAATACCTACTTGTATTAAATAATCGTAGTATTTTCTCGTCGTATTAGGTCTTACTTTCGAACTATTTATTTATTTAAATTTTCGAATTTTCAGGTTTGTTTTAGATTCTGAGTTAGCAGAGAATACATTGCTTTTACAAAGATGTTTATTTACCAGGAAGCTTACTTCGATTATCAAGTATAGCATCTTTTCTGAAAGTAAATATTCTCTGGATGATAGAGATCATTTTTTGAAGTTTTCATCAGTATTCGAGATAATGAAGAAAACCTGATTCTTTAGGTTAAAAAAGATTGAAAGGTTAAAAATAAGGTTGCCATTGGTAACAGTTTTTATTTATTTTTTTTTATTAAGTTTTTATTATTTTAATATTTTATTAATTAATCATTGTTGTCATAGAAACGCACATTTCTGTAATCATTTCACCATAGTATGGCATATATATTGTTGACAAAGCAACATTATCAACTGAACTCCGCTCAGAATCGTTTTTTGTTAGCAATTATTTACCGTTGCTTACAGATAGTATAATATATCATATAGGTACGAAAAGGACGTTTCTATTCAAATTACACTGCATGGTTTCCGACACATATACAGCAGTATCGTAATAACAATATAATATCATCGGTAACATCGAGGAATAATTAAGTACGTTTCCGCCACCATTTCTCTATTCTGACCTGCTGTTGCTGTATGACTACAATGAATTATTAATTAGTAGTCTGCTGATGCTAATGCTACTGCTGCTTGCAATCTCTCCCGTAAGCGAACACTGCAGAGCCGCAGACTATGTATGTATAATAATAATAATATTATAATTATCGTCGTCGTCATCGTCATAGGGAGTGCACAATTTGTGCATTAGTACTCGTCGGTGGCGTTGACGAGAGCTCCGATAAATGTAACCGCGGGTTAACGTGTGGTGTACGTAAGTGAAACGCTAAAATGTGTAATGATGGCGTTTGAAAGTATTTGTGTTTACCGCAGATTTCGCCAACCACTGAGTCACAATTAGCAATATAATTTTTTAACTTGGTAGGTATGACATTTTTTTCAAAGAGTTTTTCTGTATCCACACAGTAAAATCGATTTGACACCCTATAATAGAGTAACATTCTGTTTTCTACAGTGCGTCTATTAGACATTGTATGGTGAACGATTGCATAATAAGTAAATTTTGTAATAAAACAATATTAGGTAATATTTAATGGATTATCCATTAAACAATCCCCCGTTGGGGAGGTATAAACGTGAATAAGTATAAGAGTAATGAAATCTTATCAAATAAACATCAAGTGATTAGATATAACAAATATTATATACTTTATACACGCCAACAAATTATTCACACGCTCTTGTAATTAACAATTATTAGTCAGTGTCCAAATAGTTTACGCGTTATTGACTGGTAAAACCCATGCGATGCGTATGTTGCTGCATAATTCAAATTTACCCGACACATATAATACAAACTTATTACACATTCCAACTTATGTACAACTAGGGGCTACAGTAGGCTACAGAACATCAAAATAACATCTTAACCGTGGTTAATATAATAATTAATTACGATTAATATTAAATCACACGGGCATCAATGCTCCGTTATTAAAGTCGAATTTTCCGCTAGCCGACTTGTTTCCATTATAGTGTTTCGTTTTAAAATTTTTTATATAATGATAAAAAATTGAACAAAAAAAGTTTTATAAAAATAGATAAAGTATTTTTCGGAGTTTTTGTTAACATACAAACAGACAGTGGGGTCAGGGGTCGTAAGTTAAAACCACCAAAAGAACATCCTTGATATTTACACCATGTATAAAAAATTTCTTCCCCCCCCCCCCTAGTTTTATTTGTTGGGTCTGTAAGGGAATATAAAAATAAAAGTATGTTTCTCATGATTAAGTTCATATCTGAATTCAAGAAAAATGTTATCACTACAAACCACACATAGAAAAAAAAAGTCTATTTCCAGGGTTTGAGCTCATTTGGTCCATAGATAACTATTAGAAGAGTCCAAAAGTACCGAAAAAAAGTACAATAATCTCTTTTTTCAGGGTAAATTTGACAAAAAATACATTATACAGGATACGAAAAAACGAGATACTAAAAACTAAAATAATATTGTACTTGCTTTTTTTCTATTTCAACAGCATGAGTAGCTATTTATAATTACACAAGTTTAGGCTAATTTCTAAAAAAATTCTCTGCAACTCTTTAAAATTCAGAAATCTATTGGTATTAATATAATGTGTTTTTTTTTGTGTGTCTTTGAGCAACTTTTCAAACAGAAGACTTACACCAATGTATCAAGTGTAGCAACCTTTTTTGAGTTCAAATATGTTTTGATTCATTGATTTTTTAAGGAGTTTTCTAAGGGGTCAATTGGAAAAACAAGAAAAAGATGAAAAATAAAAACAAACAATTTTACAGCGTTATGATTTCATTATTTTACATTTCACTTTGTTCTATACCAGAAATTTTGCTCAAATAAAAAAATGACGATCTTTTTTGTTGAATTCTAAATCTAATTGGTAAATTAGAAAGTTTTTATTTGATTTTATTAGTAGTTTTTTGAATAATTGAGAGAACAAAAAACCCGTAGAAAAAACGAGAAAATTTATGAAAATAATGTTTTTATTATTTCAAATTTTGTTTTTTTAATATAATTAAGTTACAAGTATTCACAGTGACTTGAAATTTGGATATAAATTGCATATTTTTCTTTTACATACGTAATACAATTTTTAAAACATTTGAACTATTTGTGAACTATGTATAAACATTTTAATTAACTAGTTTTATACATAATTTTTATTGATTCGTACTCTGAGGATAAGGAGGCTCATTATAATTCGTACTTAATATTTAAATAAAGAACTGAGTGTAGTATTTTATTTATGTTTTATAAAAGTTTAAACATACAATTTTGACGAAAATTGTACATTAGGGTCTTTCGAAACATACAGTATAACTGAACTTTGCTCCGAACCGTTTTTCGTTAGCGATGGCTTATATTTAGATACAGATATAAATTAAATAACGTTAAATGTACAGCCTTTCTAACTTCCCACCTATAACAGTGGCACACCTGTCTCCAATATCAGCTTTTTTTTTTTTTTTTTTTTTTTGAGTGGTTTTAACACGTGTTTTTTTAGATGAACTGAAATGATACAATTTTGGGTGAACTTCAATATACATTTCACCATGTTGAGGGGAACAGGGTTTTTTTTTAACTTTGTACACCAATGTAAACCTCCAAATGGAGTCAGAAGATTGTCATTTTTTAATTGGATGGTGTAAGTATCTAGTTCAACATTTAGGGATTTTCACTTTTAACCTCCATTCCAACCATTTTTGTACTCACATTTCATGTTTTACAAATACCCCTATAGACGTATCAAGTAACGAGTTAAATATAAAAACCATTATGGTCGAGGCGCCTTAAGTAGGTTTCAACTTCTAACCCATATTCTCACTGTCTGTTTGTATGTTAGCAAAAAAAGAACCTATCAATAAACTTTACATATTTTGATAAAACATGTTTTGTTCGATTTTTATCTAAAGGTAATAATATACACTTTGTATCTGAAATAAGGAAGGGGTATTGATAATTATAAAGCGCAGGCGTACGTGGTAGATGTCGTCAACAGAATACAGTCTAGTGAATACAAATAAAATATAAAATATTGTGACGGTAATAAATCGGCTGGTGGAAAATTCGACTCTAGTGACAGTGCTACTCATAGGTGTTTTTTTTTTTTAAATAGATGTCCGATTTTTACAACTTTTTTTAATACGTAAGCTAGGGAAATAATAAATTATACTTCCGGTGACAATAATAAAATAATATAACATACTAATATTCTTCACACGATGACACGCACGCACACTCACGTATATATTATATCGCGTCGTCTTATTAAAATTTGCAGTCGTAATTTACAACGAATAAAATGACTTCCACGAACGCCCGTCGATCACGCATCGACTATTCGAAACGTATTTCGAAAATGAACACGTATAATAAAAAAAATACCATAAAAATTTACGCCGCGTAAAAAATAAAATCGTCACGCTACGTGAAATCGTGTGCGAATTATCAATCGGATATTTGTAGACCATGGCTCGACCAGAATTCATTTCCAAAGAGTGGGAGGGGGTGAGAATTTAAAATAAATTTCTAAACAAGTTTTTGAGTTAATAAATGATACTAAATTGGTGGTCCAAAGCTTGGTTACAAATTGAATCCACCCTTATACGTTGAGTTGCTGAATAGTATCCACAAAAGTTAATATCAAAAACCACGAAGAACAACTTCAAGATATGATTTATAGTTTAAATGACTGTCGATTGTTATCAATAGGTCACCGATTTTTTTTTTAATCTCAATCATCAAATTCGGTCTGACGGTCGGTCTACCGGGAACACTTTTCGGCTGTGGATTGTAAATGATAAACGAAAAAAAAAATTATTTCAGTTATAGCACTACCGCTAGTACAAAAATTAGACTCTAGATGTTTTCGTCTTTAGTATGAGATTTCAAAAGTTTACTGGCCTTATAATCTGTGTAGCAGTTTTTTTCGAAACGATTATTTTTGTAGAAAAATATTATAATTCAAAGAAAATTAAAAATATGTTTCGATTAATACGTGTCTAATACAAATTGTGGGAAATTTGACGTAAAAGGATAAACAATGTAACCATGACTCTCGTCGTCGCACTAGAACGAATATTTTACTCATCCCCTTTCTTCTTGTTTCGTGTTGATTTAAATGTTTTAAGTTATGTAAAAATAACGGCAAGAATGCTGTGAAAAAAAAATTAATTAACACAAGTATATTATTGTCCTAGAACAACCAAAAAAACCGTGAGAATTGATTAGTATCTATTGCCAATGAATGTATCCAGAGCCGGATTAAAGGGGTAGCTAAGAGACCTATAGCAGCTCAGAGACCCTGAAACAATGGGGTTCTGAGAAAGATATTAGAATTGTAATTTCCCTATAATTATTTCGCTAACAAAATAAAAAAAATATATGAGCCACTTATTTAATTAATGCGGTTCTGGGTGTGTCACTGTGGGAGTAGGATGTATAAAGCAGTAGGATATATAAGGTAAGATACACAGAGCAAATTTACATGTATTCTGAACGCAATGATAAATCGTTTCTAAAAGAAAATTTTGAGCAAACTGTTAAACAAAATTTGTTATGGTTTTTTACGATTTTCATATAAATGTATCTTAAAACGCATATGTATAAAAAAATAAAAAGTTTTACGCAATAAAACACCACAACAACAATAATTAACAGAAAGAAAATGAAACTGATAAACAATATTTAAAAAAAAAACGAGCGATATTTTATTATCACAAGCGGGTCTATTTTGAATAATAGCAATTATAATATCATATCCGTTTGATATTATACGACGCGAAACAAACAACCGTAGAATTGCAAACATGTGTCGTAATAATTAAACAAACATTTCGGGCCTTAAAAGGTCAGTGCCCTTTATAAACATATTGTCTCGTCGTCGACGGTGTGTATACACTATACCCTTTATATTTGGTAGGAAAGTTTTTTTTTCGTTTTTTTCTTCTCAACTGTCAACGTATACATTAAAACGCGTGTGGTGAACGTAACGTGATAATAATATGTTTCATAAACTTTTCGTACTCTCGGTTCTGGATCACCGACACCGTTAAAATACTAATATGATATTATATATAGGTATAGGTAGGTTTGAACGAAAAACCTTATAAAATTCTACAGGGTGATTTATTTTTTTTTGTTTTAAAATCTATTTGGATTTCATAAGTTTCTGTTAATTATAATTTATATTTTTGGCAGTGGACGCACGGAGGTGGTCCTCGGGGGTGGAATCAACTGGAAAAAGTTTTCCGAATATACGATTTAAAACCAATATGTGAATATCAGAACACAAGACCTATACACGTTTTTTTTTAGTAGTTCCATTACGAACGTGTGAATCAATAATTATTTAAATTGTGTTTTTGTGGATTTTAATGTTTCCCAAGAGGTGAAATGTCTCTTCTTGCCTTTGATAGTTTTCGAATAGCAAATACAAAGAAACAGACTTAATATATTGAACCCTGAAACACAGCGAATATGAGTGGAGAAGAAACTCAAATTTAGGAAATAAAGTACAAGATTTGTTTTAAATTCATAATCAAGAAAACTGAACGACTCAGGAGACGCAGCGAGTACCGAAAATCTAGGTGGATTATCGGGAACGGTGGAGATTCCCGGCAGAAGCTATGTAAGATGCGAATGCCCTTAAGACAAGCAAAACAGATACAGAGTTGTCTTAAATATTTTATAACAATTTAATGTATACGATCATATTATTGTTATTATCATATTATATAATAGCACTTTCTATGTAGCCGATAACATTGTTCGAATATTCGCCGGTGCTCTACAAATAGCGATATTGAAATGATATTAATTAATTAGCTTTATTATTCGTTTATGAACGTCTGAGAAATTGTTATACATAGTGTTGAATATGCATTTCTCTCAAGCTCCCGTTGAATAATAATGACGTAATCGTTATTAATAATATTCCGACGATCTCGTAATATCATCGATTATATCATCGGAATATATTATTATAATTTTATTTGCAATTGGTGTATCGTGTGTGTAAGTTTTTTTTACATTCTATCGATTTAATGCGGTAGAATTAATAACGCTCGACCTGTTTTCGCGTGTGCAATACGAAATTATTAGGCGTGTAATTAATTAATTATAATTAACAATTGTTGTCTTAGATGACACGATCAAAATAGTATACCCTCCACGATATGATGTAAGCCAATCAACACGGATTATTACACACGATAAGTATATTGAGAACTCTCACAACTTTAAATATTAAAAAAATAATATTACTATGTCTGAATACATTTTCTAAATTTCTAACAGTTTTTTTAAAAAAAAAAATTGAAATAACCGATAACGAATGTCGATACGTTTGATTTCTGAGACACCTTGAGTATGAGAGGGATAAAACACGACTAATTACTACACCCGTTTATCGTGCTTCGCTCAGAATCGCTTTTTGTTATTGCCATGATTTATCGTTGTTTTCGGTATATAAGTTCAAATATTAAGTACCTCCAATATCAAAATACATCTTCCGAACTTACCGCCGATAACAGGGGCCAATAATTATCGAAATTCTGTTTTTCACGAACCACCCGTCGATAACCGCAAATATCACAAATAATAATATTTTGTTTTCGGTGCATACGATTTTATAATACTATTGTCGGAAGAGTTTATGGCATACGCAAAGAACGGTTTATAATAGCGGTTTTATCGAGAAATAATAACTCCGCACGCGCGTCTAATGATTACGCCGAACAATCTCCGTGGAGGAGAAAATTTCTGTACCGAAATTTGAACGACATCACGCGCGCGTTGTTACCCGGACGAAAATCGCGGAGGTAAAAGTTTTCGCGTTCGTATCTTCACCTCCCCGCCGACCTTCTAACTTTCTCACTCATTCTTTCTCTATCGTGCCCGCGCTGAGGGACTCTGCAGCACTCTCCTTTCCTCTCCTCCGACCACCATCCCTCCATCTCATCCCGAAAACACTATAACCGCTCGCCAGATGAGTTTTAGAACAAATGGTCCGTTACCGGGCACCGGCGTCGTCGTCGTCGTCGTTATAGTTCGTTATTTTCTCAGTTTATTGTGTCGTTAAGAGTGAAAAAGAAAGACGGAAAAATAATAATCTACTGCATCGAGAACACCGGGGCAGTGGCAGTGTGGCTTCCGTGCATAAATATACACACCTAAATTATTATTATAAAACGTCTCGTCTCGGGAAAAACGAGCATTAAACGGAACGTTTATACATTACTATTATAATATACTATTATGGTGTGCGTTTCGGTAAAGCGAAAATAACAAGTGTATAGTTTATTGTTCGTTTTAGATTCTGAACGGAGCTGCAGTTTTATCATACGCGTCCCCTTCCCCACACTGTTTATATTAACACAATTTTGACTATATCTCCGTTCGAGAAAAAATTATCAAAGTGAGGGTGGGGGAGGATTCCGAGCGAGTATTTTTTTGGACCAGCGGTACGGTTATTTTTGTTATTTTATTCCATGACACTGCAGGTGCTACAGGTGAATCGGCAACAAACAATAGTGTCGGATTTCGTCATAGTAAGTTTAGTTAAGTGGTGGCTCGTGATCCTTGTAAATGGTGAACATTTTAAAAATATAATAGGAAAGGTTATCATACGGAGACAAGTATCAATCATTAAAAACAGGAACCGAGGTGCTGTTATATCGTTAATTGTTGTTATCGGTTGTCTTTGGACGTCAGTTATCAGTAATTACTGATTTGCTACTTTGATTTTAAACATAATATTTGATATTGGTTCGGCTATTTTATAGTTATTCATTTTATACAAATGTTCAATATTTTTTTTTTATTTTAATATTTTTGTGAACGAGGTCACAATTAGTTTTCATACTGTTTGCAATGTAATTTTATTTAAAGATTAATGCAATTCGGTTTAAACGCAGTTAAAGCCTGCAAGTTAATAGTCGAAAAAGTTGAAAGTTGAGTTTTAATGGTTGGTGGCGCATACGAAAGGGCGATAAGAACTGCGGCCTCTCCCTCGGGAGCTTTACGTATAATGTATCCAAAGACGTAATTAATATTAATATACAAATAAATAGATAAAGAGATCAGCGTGTTGTATAATAGCGATAATGAAAATCACAATAGGCGGACGAGGGGGACGGTGTTCAAATACAATAAGGATGATTTTTTTTTTTCAGGATAATAATTCGACTTCGACCGGTCGGAACCGATCTATATATTTGTTTCGGGGACGAATCGAGAAAATACTTTTTGTCCAAAACGTCCCGATGCATATTTTCCATCATATTATTGTACCCTCCTCACTGATTTTTATGTTTTTTTTTTCTCTTGCATTACTCTATTAGTTGTTGCACGGCGTCTCTGGTGTAATATTCATATTTGTCTGAACAAAATAATCGGGGCATAGAAAACAACGACTTGGGCCCCTATATTTTGGGACCCTTTGCACTTGCGTTGATCCGGCTCTGTCGGTTGTCAAGCGTTCACGAAATTTCGGTCTCACTTACCGACCGAATGTACAATCCACGAACTTTACAAGTTAAAACTCGTAAAACTATTTTGCTACAAAATACTGAGGCAATATTGTTGTTATCAGTGTTCACTAAACGTATGGTAATAACAAATTATTCATGAAAAAAAGTCAATTTATTGGCAATTAGAATAGGAGATATGATTTTGGCATTGTTATCTCTCTCCCTTATCCGGAAAAGTTGCCCGTTACGTAACTGGTATACGCTACACTATCCAATAGGTATTATCAATGGTTTTACCACCTATACAGTAGGTATTGATCGTTTGTAATTGGTCTGTTCGAGTCAGCGTTCGAATCTGCGTGCAGAAATGTCGTGTTATAATGTTCTGCTTATTCTTACAAGATATCAATAAATCTATACGAAACATGTTTCTGCAGTGGGCTGACACCAGTATTCGCATACGACCAATATTGTCTCGGGTTTGATACCAGGACGGTCACAGAACACGTCGTTAGGAAACGCACAAATGAGTTTTGCACAATGAATGGAAAGTTATTTTTGACATGAGCGAACGAAAGTGGCCAATTAATCCGAGACAAAGTATCAATTTACTATAAACCACTATAATGACAACAGCAACAATATCAACAAACAATATAGAATAGATATAGGGTTAGCTAATTGATTTTCGATTATTGACCTGTGATCGGAAATATGGTCCTAAGGAAACGGTTTCGTTAATCAACTTTATACGTTTGGTTTATCGATTTATGAAAATGTCCGTAATTACAGTATATTGATACCAAAACGAGTGGCTATTGGTTGCGGACAAATTATGTCATTTCGGAATACATTTACCGAGTGTTAGAGACTCGTGGTCACCCATTTATTTGAAACGGTAGTTTATAGAGTGTCTAACCTCTGAGAATATGGCACGTCTTTGAACGTTCGCGATAGAACGTGAACGCGGTAAATTCGAACCGACCAATCGTGGAATCAACCTGCATACGCCGAAACGGATCTCGGAATGCTAATACGCGTCCCGTTCGCGCTCGTGAATTGAATATAAACGGCTGCACCCGGTATAATAGGTAGTTCAGAAACTAATATTTAATTTGAGGGCTACGTGTCGTGCACGCAGTTGTACTCGACTGTCGTAATAGTTTGTAATTTATTCATCGCGATGTTGAGACGATATTTCGATGCTACTTATAGTCGATTCCAAAATCGAAGATCGTGCTGAGTTATGTCGCAGACGATTATCGTCAGCAGCGCCGGCCGTATAGAATTTCCGAAGCCAAAGTCGCGTTTAACATGAATTAGTGTTATGTAATTTATAATCGACTAATGTAATAATAATTACAATTATATGAGATATCGTTCGAACGCGGTGCAAAACGACAATCTATATGTTATTATAACATTCAAATAGGATTTAACTTAGGAACGATATTGTGGTAGCGAGAGTGCAAGACTTGCATTTTCCTCTCATGCAAAATAAAAAATAAACTGTAGGCATTCTATATCGAAATCTCCCCCCACCCCTCACTTTCACCTATTTTGTGTTAAACAAATTTTGTTTGCAGAAAAAATAAATAACCAAATATAAGGTACCTGCTATAATATACCATTACGAATTATAATACTACTTGTCAAACAAAAATGGTGAAATTTGATTATCAAAATAATAGGGGTGGGGTTTGAAAGCCAAAACCACCGAAAGACACATTCTGTGATATTAAAGTCATTCAATAACGAAATTTCGTCCCCTTGGTTTCATATGGGTAGTCTGCAGGGGTGTTGCTATAAAACACCCTACTCCAGCAACGTGGTGATATTCATATTGAAATTTAATCCAATTTTATCACTTCAATCCACGTATAAAACCCAACTCTAACTGCCGAGTGTGAGCTCATTCGGTCCATAAGGACCCATTAAAAATGCCCAAAAGTAAAAATAAAGGTATACAATATAATATATTATTTCGGCGGTTAAATTGGGGGGGAGGCGGATAGGGTAATTAGTCTTATTTAATATGAATATATTTTTCAATCGAAACTTTTTTCCACTCTAACTACTATGATACTGCACTCCATGGGAAACTAATACGGCAAATTAAATAATATTGTTACGGAAAAATGGTCGGAAATCTAGAAAAATTATGTACAATAATGATGTCATATTAAGGATGCAAAACGGGTGTGAGTACGTTCTGGTAGATTTTTACCAACCGAAAACGCGGTCGTAAACACGGCCGACTTTTTTTTAAAACCGATTTTTCCGTCTCGTTTTGTATTCTACCTATAAAACGCGTAATACGAATTTAAACCAATTCGCACGTGTCGTATTATAACGACCGAGATAAATTTCCGGGCTTGGGTGTTCGAAAATACAAAATAAAAAACACGTAGGCACAATAATAATAATATTAACGTTTGATCGTAGCGGTCGATAATATTGTACGATAATATTATGCAAAGTAGGTTGGTATACAATATGGATTGTGTTTGATCGTTGAAACAAAATAATAGTATTTTATGAATAGGCTCGTTTTGAAGTCCGACAACGACGATGACGACGTCAACTCAATCGGCTATTGTTTATCCGTGGTTATAAACGGTACAAACAGTTTTGTAATCGGATCCAAATACCGCTGCACTAGGTACACTTCAATATAATATAATAACGATGATGCTCGTGCGATAAAAAAAGAAAATGTCAAACGATACCAATAAAGCCCTTAAAATCAACAAAAAACATTTGAAAAACCTTTATCATACGCTCTACGCGTACTGAAATACTTAAAAATATATTTAAAAAAGCGAAAACAAAATAATACTAAAGAGCATTATTTTTTTTTTTTTAACGGTCAAACAATATTATAAAATAAAAGTACTATCGAACATCACATAAGACCTCTTGAATCTTTTTAAAACTACATTCGCGGATTTTAATCGTCCCGTGTCCAACGATGATCGACAAGTAGATTAGCTAACGAAAACAAACAAGCCAGTGTTGGGTATAACAGAATACAAAGGAGAAATTATTTAAAAATCGTTGAGGGAAAAAATTGACTTTTCGTCACTACAGGCATACATAATCACTGAGTAGAAAATATATAAAAATATAAATCGAAATAAGCAAAAAAAAAAAAAAAAAAAGCACTTGTTTCATATTTGAATTCGCTGTAACGTTGTAGTATATTTTTGCATAGCACTCTGCAAGATTTAATGTCAAACCGAAAAACTAAGCAAGCTCTTTAAGTTCCGGACCCTGGTTAGGGGAATCTTACATGGAATCTTATACGGAGACAAGACAGAATATCCTCGCAGAAATAAACGTGTGCTTTTTTTTTTTTTTGTTTCGAAAATACGGTGTGCCAACGTATACCGCACGCCTCTGTGAAAAATGACGGGGGCGCTGAAAAGTGACCGGCGGTCGTTATTCCTGCACTTTCGTATACCCTCGTATCTCCTCCTATTGCTGCGTCACTGCGTTTTACTTTATATATACACTCGCCGACACTTTGGACGATCTATGGCTGTCGTCGAAAAAACCGGAAGGGCTTGCGGCGGTGGTCCCCCGCAAGCCGGCCGCTTTGTAATTTCGTTTTTGTTTTCGGGTTTATTATTATTTTTCGGAACGAAGAAAAATATTGATTTAACACAACACGACGACGATGACGACGACGACAACGCTGTATACACTCGGAGTTTTCCCTCGTTCGCGTGCGTATGTCACTATGTGCGAATATAGTAAGCATGTATAATATATGTATAAATTACGTATTAGGTATAATATTTCCAATATTTATATTATATAGGAAATGAGATGCGCGACGTTTCCACCCCACTCCCGCTCCCATCTCCTTCCACCCGTTCCTCTTTTGAAGTCGGTTTTTTTTTTTTTTTTTTGAAAGAATATTATCGATTTACTATGGATACGTCGCGCGGGTATTATACAGCACGACAACAGTCAAATAAAATACGTACCTAAATAATACGATAGCATTTATATAGCGTATTACGAAATTGCACATTATCGTTTATAAACTATAACGGCGCTATCGTGTGTGGATATAATATATTATCTATTAATACATTAGAATTCGGTAAGTCCGTCGTCGACAATCGTTTTAAAAAAAAAAAATAAATTATCTGTAAAAGGGGAATATTTTGACTACTTGGATATTTCGCGTGACGGTTCGTGTGTTTCCGACCAAATCATGCGATTGATAAAAGGTAAAAGGTAAACGGTAAAGTGTATATTATTATATTGGGCATATTATGCGGAACAATAAATGCACAGGAAATTGTACCTGTATTTTTATTGAGAAAAACGGCCACCTGACCCGTATTAAATGTACGGTCAAGGTTTTAAGGGGGATCCGTTCCGGGGATACTGGACATTCTCCAAAGACAAACAAAAATCAAATCGGACAAATTTTGCTGCAGCATAATTATAATTAATTAGTATAGAAACCATACATGTATTCGTGTCTTTGTTCGATAGGTTTCCAAGTTGTGACTAAATTGTAAGTGCCGTAAAGGCAAGGTATCTTTATAATAAAGAATTTGTGGCACAGAAAAATTGAATATTGATGGACTATAGTTGATTATATAGTATTAAGTGATTAGTCGATTAGAATTTGCAGACGTATTTAATAGTAAACCCCCTCCAAAAAGTGCCCAAATATGAATCTGCTGTAAACTATGGAACAAATATCCGTTATCAGTATGTTGACTAAGTAATGTAGAAAGCCGTTACGGCACACTTTATACGCTATGGGTAGGCCTGTACTTCAGTAGGCGAGATATTCGGAAAGTAAAAAAAATAGAGCTATTTAATTTGTACACAAAAAGCAACAACAATCAAAAACCGATTTTAAGCAAAGTTATGTTAGTCGTTCTTTTCTTTTTGAGACTAATAATCTATATTAATACGAAATTCGACAAAAAAAAAAAACCTATGTTTATATTGAAATTTGTTGCCCAGTTTTTAATTTTATTAAAAAACTGTTAGGAATTTAGACATCTTTTTTTAAAAATAAAGTACCTACCTCTAGACGCAAAATACACATCTTTTAAGTTATTCAATGTAAATATTGTAAATATGTAAGCATTTTTACTAATAGAAACTCCATCTTCAAAAAAAAAAAAAGAACCTAGAGAGTGAACCGTTAAAAATTGTAAAAAGTAAATAAAGAATTACCGAGGGGCGGGGAAAATTCCGTTGTTTTTAAAACACGACATGAAATACTTCACGATACTCGGAATCTAAAATACAAATTGTCTATATGATGGTTTCCTATGTGTAATCGATAAAAACTGAAATGTTCGAAATTTCAGAGTTCCTCATGTATATTATGCACCGTCGTTTGAAGTGTGGTTCTAAAAAATTTCGTTCAGAAAATGCTTTTTCAAATATTATGATGCACCGCTGCCGCCGCCGGTTGGTTATATGTACCAACTTAATATAATACGCGAAATTTTCGGTGGATTTTTACCAGCCGGATAAATGGATTTACGCAGATTTGCAATGTGCAAATCCGAAATTGTTTTATTTTAAATTTCTAATTACGGCCATTTTCGTGCAACGCGTTACGGTATTATAAATATTGGCCGGAACTCCGCGCACCGCAATAAAACCACTGAAATTTCGCGTCTAGACCGTATTATGATGCACGCGTACGGCCTGTCGGTTTTTGGGTTCCAGCCAACCAAATTATCATAATTACCGCGAGCGGAAAATAAAATTCCCGATGAAAGGAACATTATACCGCATCATAATATTACATAAGTGCAGGGTTTTCGTTTTATCTGCGGACTTTGCAGAGCACGTGCGGATCCGGTTGTATTATAGGACGACTGTAATTATTTTTAATATCGTACGCGGTCGGCGCGATCGCGACATCATAATAATAACATTGTGCAGGGATGCAAGTATTATAAAATATAATAATATGTGCATCGTCCCATGATTTTTTTTTTCCGAATTACGGCGGGCACAAAAGCGTATTTTCTACACAGCAGTCATTTCGGATTTTTTTTTTTTTATATCGCCGTTTGCATAAAATAAAATGATGCAGCGCGCGTTGTTTTGAATATTAAATTTATTTTGCTGGAGGAAACGGCGGCAGTGTCGGTGGCATACACAACACGTATGTAGGTAAATATTTCTTTTTACGAACGATTTCCATGCGTATGTCATCGATTTTACGAGTGCTACTAAAAAAAAATTGCGAAACGACGGCCCCGATAACCGCGGTTACGAGCGGTCGTTTTACACCGCAAAATAATACGGAAAACGGACAATGATAACAAAATATAATATATATGTTTGTAGCATAGAGTGATAGAAAAATCAGCCGTCCATTTTGTTTCAGGTATTATCACTATAAGATAACACCATTATCACAAAAACAAAAATGTATTTCATATCTTTCATATTAGGTACTTATTTAGGTAAATCTTCGAGGAGATGTGCCACAGAACACAGTTTATGTATTGAATATTACGTGCGTATTACGTTAGGTTAATGTTAGTACCACATTATATATTAGACGTATTCATAAATGGACTGGACTCAAACGAGAATCCGGGAACCAATATAAACTGAGAGAGATAGTGGTTGTTAGACGTCGGTGCAAGTCACGGAAGAAAATATAACTCAACATTTTTATTTACATTATGCAATCGTAGCCATTACTCATATCTATTTATCAATTTGATATTTTGATGGATATTCACAGTTAATTTCATGGCATAAAAAAAAACTATGGAAGAATTTCATCTATGAACTAACTACCGTTAATCTCACCACTCAATATTTCCCATGGAAACCATAACCGGGGGGAAAGCGCGTTATATTTATTAATATGTCTGTGGTTTATATAGTTGTTATCACTCCCCAATGTATAATGATAACATTGCGCCTGAAATAAAATAGTGGTTGGTCTCACGACAATATCAATTCGAAGTGTCCGCCGTATGTTCACATTAAAGAATCATTTTACATTCTAATCGTTTAACGTTACTCGTACCTATATTATACAGTGGATGCGGTCATCCCGAGGGTGATATAATGATTTTATGCACCGAGGTTGTATACATATAATATTATTTTTCTTGTTGTTCTTGTTGTATAGGTATATAGAGTCTTACCTGGAACAGAAAAACAAAAAAAAAAAACCATTAATAATGTTTTATAATAGTACAACTCTTCGCCACGGCGTTTATTTCGCGAGGGCTGCAACATGGGTAGTGTAAAAAATTAAGGCGGCGCAGCGTCTGTCGAGTTTATATATTATATATAGAGAATAAGAAACTAATTCCGAAGACAAGGCGCGCACCTCGCTCTCCGTGGCCTCGGCGTCCCCGGAAAATAAGGGGAGAGCAGGGAGAGGTAACGAACACTGTACGTATACGGGACCACCGGGAACGCGGCGGAGGGATTTAATCTGGACCCCGAGAAAAAGTCCGCAAGGTTATTATTTTCCTCGCGCTATTGGTTTATTACAACCAACACTTTATATCCGCTGACTATGAAGAATCGTCGGCCATCACTATAGCTAGGTAGCTGCTATATAGTGTATACTGACTATATATATATATACACGACCCCGCCGGATACCTCCCCTACACCCCCTACTCAAAGGTATATAATATACTTCACAATAAACGTGTATTATTTTTTTCTCCTCCATGCTCTATCCTCCCTTCCCTTTCGGCAACCACACCCGTGGTTAGGATATATAGGTTGGAGTTCCCGCTGGTTTTCTCTTCTCGAGAAATTGCGACAGCGGCGGTGTTGTACCACTTACAACACATTTACCATTACCTCCACTATCACCACCACACCACCGCCACCGACACAAGTGGTGTCCCGGAGTTTATTTTCCGTAACTTATCAATACTATCCCGGCCACCCGAGGTCATCTATATGAGCTGTAATTCAATTTGTTGACGAGTTTAATTTAAACCCGGGTCTCACAGTAATAGTATTTATTTTGTAAGACCATCACTTCCAACTCCCTGCGTATCGTTATCAGTATAGTTTTTATCGAAACATCAATACCGAATCGCCAAAGTGCGCGATATTAGGCATACAATTTGATTGTTTTTTGCGAGATTATTTTTAAATTTTAGTTTACATAAGTTATATTACCGACAATATAATAGGGATTTGCGATTTTTTTTTAGTATAACTGTTTGTAGTTAAAAAAACGTACTAATTATGAAGTGAACCCGATTATTATTATTATTTTTATATTTTTACAATATAGTAAAAGAGATAGCTGAACAAATCCAGACAAGAAATAAATGCTACACAGACGTACGAATAGTTATGAAGTCCACAATCACTAGTCAAGAGAAATGAAAAAGACAGTTATAATACAGCCTTAATACGACAGGTATTACGATTTACGGACTATTATATGGATCTAAAACTTGGCCACTGCGGAAAATAGACGAAAATAAATTGTTGTTACTTGATAGGAAAATATCGTGGCAGATCTTTGTACCAATAAAGTATAACATAAACGGTGAATGAAAAAGAAGTAGAAACA